GGGAAATGGATGTTCTGAGTTGTCTCTAGTTGGTTAACAGGTAGTAGAGACCTGGAAAAGCTTGTATGTACTGTTCTAAATATTTCTTCTCAGATACACACATGCATATGTATGTATTCTATAAAATACATATATATTCACACACATATGCACACACACAGGATGGCTTCATGGACATGCAACCTGTACAGTTGCACAAGTCTGTGCTTAGAAGCACCCCACACCTAATTTTTGAACAAGGGTCCTACAGCTTCATTTTGCCCTTAGTCCCCAAATTATATAGCTGGCCGTATACACACATGCACACATATAACATACTCACACATATATATGCATATATTGTGTGCATATGTATTTACATTGAATATATTTAACATAAGTGTTAAATATGCATGTGTATTTTATGTATGTATTTATGTAAACATGTACATATTTAAATAATATGTGGTTTAGTGATAAAAATTCCCTAAAAGGTATGTTTCTAGTGAGGCAACTATATTAAAATGGTTCTCAAAATTTCTGTGTATGTGTGCGTGTATATGCATTTTAATTCGCAAATCAGGTCCCAGGCTCTTGTCCCTGTCGTCCTCTGAGTAAGAGGATACTTTTTACTTTATTTTTGAAGCCAGGAAAATATATACTCACAAATAAATAGAATTTGCTAAGAAATGCTATATTTATTTCATAAGAATATATATATCTATATCTTTTTGTTTTTTGAGACTGAGTTTCACTCTTGTCACCCAGGCTGGAGTGCAGTGGCATGATCTTGGCTCACTGCAAACTCCGCTTCCTGGGTTTAAGCAATTCTCCTGCCTTGGCCTCCTGAGTAGCTGTGATTACAGGTGCCTGCCACCATGCCCAACTGATTTTTGTATTTTTATAGAGATGGAGTTTCACCATGTTGGCCAGGCTGGTCTCGAACTCCTGATCTCAGGTGATCCACCCACCTTGGCCTCCCAAAGTGCTGGGGTTGCAGATGTGAGCCACCAAGCGACACCCAGCCAAAGTAAGAATATTAAAATGAGGTCAGGTAAAGATAAGGCTACATTCTCACTAATTGGCCACCTCATTTAGTGTTTCTTTTTAATATAGCCTCATTAATCAAAACCAGATATTTTTTTAAAAGAGACTTCTCTCCACCCAGAACATTTTCAAACCTACAGAAAAGTTCAAAGAATACAACAAACACCTATATATTGTCAACTAGATTTACCAATTGTTCCGTACCGTCTTTCTCTCTCCATGTTGATTTTTGCTGAACATTGAAGGTTACAGACATCATGACACACTTGGCCTCTAAATATTTTTGCATGTATTGCCTAAAAATAAAACATTTTTGGCTAGGTACAGTGACTCACACCTGTAATCCCAGCACTTTGGGAGACCAAGGTGGATGGATCACCTCAGGTCAGGAGTTCAAAACCAGCTGGGTCAACATGGTAAAACCCTGCCTCTACTAAAAATACAAAAAATCAGCCAGGCGAGGTGGCAGATGCCTGTAATCTCAGCTACTCGGGAAGCTGAGGCAGGAGAATCATTTGAACCCCAGAGGCAGAGGTTGCAGTGAGCCAAGATCGTGCCACTGAACTCCAGCCTGGGTGACAGAGTGAGACTCCATCTCAAAAACATAAAAAATAAAAACATATTCTGTATATACTATTATCACGCCTGAGAAAACAGTTATTTGACATTGTTATCGAATATGCAGTCTATATTCAAATGTTCTCAATTGTCCCAAGTCTTTATAGCTGTTTGCTGGTTGTTTTTTTTTTTTTCTTTTTTTTTAGATAGGGTCTCACTCTGTCACCCAGGCTGGAATGCTGTGGCATGATCATGGCTCACTGCAGCCTTGACCTCCTAGGCTCAAGTGATCCTCCCACCTCACCCTCCTAAGTAGCTGGGACCACAGATGCACACTACCATGCCCAGCTAATTTTCTGATTTTTTTTGTGGAGATGAGGACTCACTATGCTGCCCAGGCTAGTCTCAAAATCCTGTGCTCAAGTCATCCTCCCATTTTGACCTCCCAAAATGCTTGGATAACGAGCATGAGCTACTGTGTCCAGCTTTTGTCTTTTTAAATATCCAGGATATAATAAAGATTCAAGCATTTGATTTGGTCATTATATCTCACAAGTTTCTCTTTTTTTTTTTCATGACACTGACTTTTTGAGAAGCCCAAGTCAATTATCTTATAGCATGAATACATTCAGGATTTGTCTAGTAATTTTCTCATGATTAAATTCCAGTTAAACACTTTATGCAAGAAAACTAGGTAAAATTCTTAAATTACATCAGGAGGGTCATAATGTTACAGTGTTCTACCTTGAGTGATACTAAATTGAATCACTTGGTTATTGTGGTGACCATTGTAAAGGCAGGCACGTCTTCCTCTGTATAACTGACATATCTTCTGTAGGATTATATTTAAATTCTTGTGAAGGTCCTAGTCCACAACCACTTTTCATCCAATAGTTTTAGCATCTATTGATGAACGTTACCTGAAATATGTATTGACTGCTTTTTATGAGCACTTTTTAAAGACTTTATAAAAGTATTTTCTCTTACTGTATTTTCACTTAACCTAAATTTGGCCCTTTCCAAAATTCTAAAATCACAAGGCAGTTTTAGAATGGTAGCTGGTTGCTGCTACAGTTTGGATGTTTATCCCCTAAAACCTCAACCCCACATATCTACAACCATCTGATCTTTGACAAACTGGACAAAAACAAGCAACGGGGAAAGGATTTCCTGTTTAATAAATTGTGTTGGCAAAACTGGCTAGTCATATACAGGAGGCTGAAACTGAACAACTTATACAAAAATTAACTGCAGATGGATTAAAGATTTAGACATAAGAACACCATCAAAACCCTAGAAGAAAACCTAGGCAACACCATTTAGGACATAGGCACAGGCAAGGACTTCATGACTAAAACACCAAAAGCAATGGCAACAAAAGCCAAAATAGACAAATGGGATCTCATTAAACTTAAGAGCTTCTGCACAGCAAAAGAAACAATCATTAGAGTGAACCGGCAACCAACAGAATGGGAAAAAATTTTTGCAATCTACCCATCTGACAAAAGACTTATATCTAGAATCTACAAAGAACTAAAGCAGATTTACTAGAAACAAACAAACAAACCCATTCAAAAGTGGGCAAAGGATATGAACAGACACTTTTCAAAAGAAGACATATGTGTGGCCAACAAACATATGAAAAAAAAGCTCATCATTTCATCACTGGTCATTAGAGAAACGCAAATCAAAACCACATTGAGATACCATCTCACGCCAGTTAGAATGCCGATCATTAAAAAATCTGGAGACAGCAGATGCTGGAAAGGATGTGGAGAAATAGGAACACTTTTACACTGTTGGTGGGAGTGTAAATTAGTTCAACCATTATGGAAGACAGTGTGGCAATTCCTCACACTCATGAAATAGAAATTTTCTCATGAAATAGAAATTCCATTTGACCCGGCAATCCATTACTGGGTATATATCCAAAGGATTATAAATCGTTCTATTATAAAGACACATGCACACGTATGTTTGTTGCAGCACTGTTTACAATAGCAAAGACCTGGAACCAACCCAAATGCCCGTCAATGATAGACTGGACAAAGAAAATGTGGCCCATATATGCCATGGAATACTATGCAGCCATAAAAAAACGATGAGTTTGTGTCCTTTGTAGAGACACAGACGAACCTGGAAACCATCATTCATAGCACACTGACACAAGAACAGAAAACCAAACACCGCATGTTTTCACTCATAGGTAGGTGATAAACAATGAGAACACCTGAGCACAAGGAAGAGAACAACACTCACTGGGCTAGGTGAGGTGGGGGAGGGCAGGGGAGGGGCAGTGAGGGGGTGGGGAAGATGGGGAGGGATACCACTGGGTGAAATGCCTGATGTAGGCAAGGCGGGGGGTAGGTGGGGGATGGAGACAGCAAACCACCACGGCATGTATATACCTATGCAACAATCCTGCAGGATGCAGGACATGCACATGTACCCCAGAGCCCAAAGTACAATTAAAAAACAAACAAACGAAAAAATTCATGTTGAAATTTGATCCCAATGTTGGAGGTGGGGCCTGATGGGAGGTGTTTGGGTCGTGAGGGAAGATCCCTCATGAATAGATTAATGCCATGCCTAGGGGTGGGGTGTACCAGGGAGGGAAAGCAAGGAGTTCTCAATCTATTAGTTTCCTCAAGAGCAGGTTGTTAAAAAAAGAGTCTGGCACCTTCTCCCTCGATCTCTTCTTCCTCTCTTGCCATGTGACCTCTGCACATGAGACTCCCTTTCACCTTTCACCATGAGTGGAAGCAGCCTGAGCAGAAGCAGATGCTGGTACCATGCTTCTCATACAGCCTGCAGAACTGTAAGTTATAGAAATCTCTTTCCCTTATAAATTATCCAGCCTCAAGTATCCATTTAAAGCAATAAAAAACAAATGAAAACAATTGCTCTAAAGTTAAAATTAACATTCAAGGTCTTCTAAGATGCAATCCAAATTATCTTTCAGCACTCTCAACAGCAATTCAGGACAACAAACTAGCATACCCCATGGTCCTCAAATATACCTTCTCCAGAACTCACCCCAGTCTCCTTGTCCAGGCTTCCTGGGTGGTATCCTCTCTACTCATCTAAAACCCTCACATATACTTGGAAGGCCCATTGGACTGTCACTTCTAGCCCTGTCCTCAGTAGAAAGTGATCTCACCCCCGCCCGATGGACTATTTGGACTATTTTCTGTTCGTAGCTACTGCCTCATAGGACAGTTGTCTTTAAAGCAGTTATTATAATAGATACAAAATATATTTAAAATAAAATGTATAACTATGCAGCAAACGCTAGTAGACCTACCATCCAGTTTAAGGAAGTTACCATTACCTTTGAAAGACCCCCCTCCCTCAAAGATAACCATCTTCCAGAATTTAATATTTCTCATTCCCTTCCTTTCCTTTGTTGTCTTATCACATTTGTTTGGTTTCCTAGACAACAGGATTTAGTTTTGCATCCTCTGGACCTTTATATAAATGGAATTATTCTGGATATATTTTCTGAAAACCTGCTTCATTCGTTTAACATTATGTTCCTGAGAGATGTTTTGTGTTATGTTACTACATTTGGCTGTAATTCAATTGTTTTCAATACTATATAGTAATCCTGTGTGTGAATACACTTTTTTTAATATACTGTTCTTTTGATGGGCATTATGGTTGTTCCGTGTTCTTTTGGCTATCATAAATAGGGTTTTATGGACATTCTTATAAGCATGTATGTAGGAATAGAATTGATAGCTTTGTGGATACACATGTATTCAACTTTACCAGATAATGCCAAATTATTTTCCAAAGTGGTTGTACATCACTTATTTTTTTTATGAGTACCATATTTCTCCAACTACCTTATAAACTATGTGAGGCAGAGAACGATGTTATAATTTTTTATGAAAAAGTAAAACGTAAGAATGTTTCTGAAGCGAAAAGAAGGAAACCTTTCTGCAAATAAAGTAAAAAATTAAGGGGAAAAATTAAAATAAAATGTAAATATCTATTGATATTCCCTAGCAGATTTTAGATAATTCAAGGAAAATTGCAAATCAGAAGCGGATACTTTTTCAGAAGGGCTCTAACGTGTGTTTCGTTCCTTTTTCTCTGGTTTTTTTTTCCACATAGCCAAGGTGTTTAGTATTTCAGATGTGTTAGTTCGGTCCTCAGGTTTCTCTGAGAGTAATTTCTGTAGAATAGTTTTCTGTAATGACAGTGAGAGTCAATAGTAAGAAATAAAACACTGAAATAAATAAAATTCTGATGATTTTCAAGTGCTTACTTCTCGTTTATCAAACACATCTGAGATGATGCCATTCCGTAGGTCTCTGAAAAACTGGAAAAAAAAAAAGATAGGCATATATTAGGAAATTATTTACTTGGGAGGAAAAACAAACAGAATTAAAGGCTGAGGATACCTGAAATGTAGGATATTTCCAGATTTTTGGGAAAGTCTCTTTAGCCAAGAAGCAAGCAGGATTCCCTCTCTCCCACCCTACCCTATGCTCTAATACAAACACCCTACCCCCACTCTAATAATCATCCTTGCAGTATGATGTGAAGTGTTAAGTGCATCATCTTCACAATCTCCCTTCATGCATTGTAGAACCCTATGTGATAGGTAGGTTCTAACTGTTTCACAGAGGATAAGGTTATTGACTCCAGGAAAGTTCCCTTTCCTGAGTTTAAGAGTAGGATATCCAGCTGGGCACCGTGGCTCACACTTGTAATCCCAGCACTTTGGGAGGCCGAGGTGGGCAGATCACCTGAGGTCGGGAGTTCGAGACCAACCTGACCAACATGATGGAACCCCATCTCTACTAAAAACAAAAAAATTAGCTAGGCATGGTAGCACATGCCTATAATCCCAGTTACCTGGGAGGCTGAGGGAGGAGAATCACTTGACCCTGGGAGGCGGAAGTTGTAGTGAGCCAAGATTGTGCCATTGCACTCCAGCCTGGGGAAAAAAAAAAGTAGGATATCCAGTTGCCTACTGTCTTTAGTGGGCTTCCCACTGCCTAAGCAAGAAAGTCCACATTTTTAGCTCAATTTAGCCTAACCTATCTTTCTATTCTCAACAACCACTACTTCCTTGTAACTTACATACTCCAATACAACTTACACTTACACTGCCTGCTGTCCCCAAATACACTCTGTACATTCCTGCCTCCAGGCTGAAATCACCTTTTCTGTTTTAGGCTATTAGAATCCAACAGATCCTTCAGAGCTCAGCTTAGTGTCTCCATGAAACCTAAGTCCCTACACCTGGAAAGATGTCCCTCCCGGCTGCTTCCACAGACTTCATACCTTCTCCTAAAATGCTTATGGCATTTTCTTATATTATCTTCTCTTTTAGAAATAAGCTCCTTGAGAACAAGCTTCTTTTTTTAGAAAGAATATCACTCTGTCACCCAGGCCACTGCAACCTCCACCTCCCGGGTTCAAGCCATTCTTATGCCTTAGCCTCTCGAGTAGCTGGGACTGCAGGTGCATGCCACCACACCCAGCTAATTTTTGTATTTTTAGTAAAGATGGGGTTTCACCATGTTGGCCAGGCTGGTCTCAAACGCCTGACTTCAAGTGATCCGCCCATCTTGATCTTCCAAGGTGTTGGGATTACAGGCATGAGTCACTGTACCTGGCCAAAGCTTGTTAATTTCTGCAACCCTTATAGCACTTAGTACAGTGTCTTACACAAAGCAGTTAATCTCAGCTATAAAATGAGGATAACAGGCCGGGCTGGTGGCTCACGCCTGTAAAATTTTACTGACTCAAGTCTTAAGAGTCTTACGAGATGAACCACCTTCTAGGGAAGACCAAAGCTTTTGCTCTTTAACAAAGTTTTTGGTATTTCTTTGCCAAACCTTGAAAGACAGAAAATTCATATTTCATTTGCAGTCAGATACTAATATGCTCAAGCCCATCGTCATGTGAGAGCAAGAACTGTCTGCAGCAACACTTTGAAGGTAGTGGTCAATAATTTTTCTTGTTTCTTTCTTTGAGATCATTTTACCTTTGATGTTTCCAAAGCAGTGTCACATACATGAAGAAGTTCAGCAAAAATTAGCCCCAATGCATAGAGGTCCACTTCCTTTCCATATTCTTGTGAAGAAATCTAAAAAAAAACAAAATATATTTACCATTGTTACTCTCCTTACATAAATATTCAGCCTTCTAAAGCCCCAAAAAGTCACTTGACCAAAACATCTTACATCACACAACAATGTCTATTTATTAGCAAGATCTGTGGAGTCTGACTGCCTAGGCTCAAATCTGTACCACTGAATAGCTGAATCCTCTGTGTAAATTAACTATCCGCCAGGTGTGGTGGCTCACACCTGTAATCCTGGCACTTTGGGAGGCTAAGGCGGGTGAATCACAAGGTCAGGAGTTTGAGACCAACCTGGTCAACATGGTGAAACCCCGTATCTACTAAAAATACAAAAAAATTAGCTGGGCATGGTGGCAAGTGCCTGTAATCCCAGCTACTTGGGAGGCTGAGGCAGGAGAATTGCTTGAAACCAGGAGCCGGAGGTTGCAGTGAGCCAAGATCATGCCACTGCACTCCGGCCTGGGCGACAGAGCAGGACTCTGTCCTAAAAAAAAAAAAAAAAAAAAAATTAACTATCAACATGGGAATAATCTCAGCTATAAAATGAGGATAACAGGCCGGGGTGGTGGCTCACGCCTGTAATCCAAGCACTTTGGAGGCCAAGGCGGGTGGATCACCTGAGGTCGGGAGTTCAAGACCAGCCTGACCAACATGGTGAAACCCCATCTTTAAAAAAAAAAAGTAAAATGAGGATAACAGCAGTATCAACCACAGTGTTTGATTGTGAGGGTAAATGAGATGCAGCAGGTAAAGCAGTTAAAATAGTGCCCAGTAGGTAACTTGCTTTGTAACTGTTCATAGCCTATTTATTCACAATATTCCATAACTAGAAACAACTCAAAGGACCACAACAGAAGAATGGATAAACACATTGTGGCATATTCATACAATGGACTACTACTCAGCAGTAAAAAGGAATTCTCTGCTGGTATGAGCAACAAATAAAGTTTTTCCAGAAGACATTATTTTGAATGAAGAAATTAAATACAAAAGAGTCTATACTGTATGATTCCATTCACATGAAGGTAAAACATGGGAAGAACTAAGCTACGGTGACAGAGCTCAGAGTGCTGGTTGCTTCTGCTCAGTAGGGTGGAGTCAATGGAAAGGAGCCTGAAGGAACAAAATGTTCTATGTCTTTATAGGCTTATATGTTACACAGGTGTATGCATTTGTCAAAATGAAAAAGTATACACTTAAGATCTGTGCATTTTATGGTATATAAATTATTCCTCAACAAAATGTTGCTTTCTTTTTTTTTGAGACAGAGCCTTGCTGTCGCCCAGCTGTAGTGCAGTGGTACGATATCGGCTCACAGCAGCCCCTGCCTCCTGGGTTAAAGCGATCCTCCTGCCTCAGCCTCCTAAGTAGCTGGGACTCCAGCAATGTGCCACCACATCTGGCTAAGTTTTGTATTTTTTTTTTTTTTGTAATTGGAGTTGGAGTTTCAACACCTTTGCCAGGCTGGTCTTGAACTCCTGACCAGAGGTGATCCGGTGAGGAGATCCACCTCAGATGCCCAAAGTGTTGGGATTATAGGCATGAGCCACTGCACCCAGCCAACAAAAGGTTTTTAAATTGAAAAAAAAAAATAAACCCACATAATAAAAAGTAAAGTACAATGACGAACTTTTTTTTTTTTGAGACAGAATCTTGCTCTGTTGCCAGGCTAGAGTGCAATGGCATGATCTCGGCTCACTGCAATCTCTGCCTCTCGGGTCCCAGTTCAAGCAATTCTCCTGCCTCAGCCTCCCAAGTAGCTGGGACTACAGGCACACACCACCATGCCCAGATAATTTTTGTATTTTTAGTAGAGAAGGAGTTTTACCACGTTGGTCAGGATGGTCTCGATCTTCTGACCTTGTGATCCACCCACTTCGGCCTCCCAAAGTGCTGGGATTACAAGCGTGAACCACCACACCCAGCCAATGATGAATGTTTTTAACCAAATATTGTGAGGGCGGCAATACAGGATGCAGAAGATACTGAATGCAGTGAGGGTTTAAAGAGAACCATTGGCCTCCTATTGTATTCTATATTTTCTATGCCAAGTGGCCTCCCAAAAGGAAAAAGTGGGTGCCTTCTCCATTCTAGACTCTCAACCATCAGACAGCTCAGTATATTTATTCTTGGATGACAAAATAGTAGCAGTATTTTGAAAGATCTATTGTCAGCAAAATAATTGTTTTTTCTTTTTTTGAGACAGACCTTTGCTCTTGTTGCCCAGGATGGAGTGCGATGGTGTGATCTTAGCTCACTGCAACCTTCGCCTCCTGGGTTCAAGCGTGGAATCTCATTTTAATAGCAAAACACAATACATATTCTGGAGAAAGATTCAAAAATATAAACAATGTGGCCGGGCATGGTGGCTCATTCCTGTAATCCTAGCACTTTGGGAGGTTAAGACAGGTGGATCACTTGAGCCCATGAGTCTGAGAAAAGCCTGGGCAACATGGTGAAACCCAGTTTCTACAAAAAATACAAAAAAAAATCAGCCAGGTGTTGGTGGCTTGCACCTGTAGTCTTGACTACTCAGGAGGATAACCTGAGTCAGGGAGGTCGAGGAGGCACAGTGGTGAGCTATGATTATGCCACTGCACTCCAGCCTGGGTGACAAAGCAAGACCCTGTCTCAAAAAAAAAAAAAAAAGTTTGTCTTCATAAAGACAAACTTTTAAAAACTTCATTGAAGAATATAAAAGCAGACTTGAGGTAGGTTGTATGATTGCCCCCAATGCTGTACTGGCCTCCTGGCCTCCTCACTGTCTCGAACTGGGCCATGCATTTTGCTTTGGACAATGATGTTTAGTGATGTATGCCACCGCTGAGCAGAACATGTAAAAGCCATCACAAGGTTCTGCCATTGCTTTCTGCCTTGAGGATGGCAGTGACTCAGATAGTATTTTTCCTTCAGCCTGGGTCTTGGAATGAAGGAGACACGTGGAGCCAAACTGCAGCTGGACTGCTGCCAACTTCTCATGCGAGCAAGAAATAGACCCTTGGTGTTTTTGCACCACTAGGAAACTGGGGTCATTTTGTTACCACAGCATAGTTTGGCAAAAGCTGACTGATGGAGGACTTGAATAAGTGCGAAGAAAATACCAATTTTCGAGAAGTCTTAAATATATAATGATATCAATGTTCCTCACCTGAATCCTCACATTCGATGCAATTGCTATCAAAACCTCAAAATCAGTTACGGAAGATGATAAGTTGATTCTAGAGTTCATTTGGAATTGTAAATGTGAACAGCTAAGAGCATTTTAAAACTGAAGAATAATGTGGCAGCCCCTGCTGCTCAAATACTAAAACCTAGTTTAAAATGCTACAATAATCTACATAACATAATATTAAAGAGAAAAATGTAAAATAAATCAATGAAACACATCTACGAATGTGTGGGAATTTTATATATGATAAAATAATATTTTATTGTGGTAAAATATATATAACATAAAATTTTCCCTTTTAACCATTTTTATGCCTATAATTCAGTGGCATTAATTACCTTCACAATGTTGTATAACCATCACCACTATTTCCAGAACTTTTCATCACCCCAAACAGAAACTATACCCATTAAACAAGAAGTTCCTATTCCTCCCTTCCTGATAACCTCTGTTCCACTTTCTATCTCTATGAATTTTTCTTAAAATAGCATTTAAATAATGAACTGCTTAAAACATGGTGATGAAGCAATTGCATATTCACGTGGGGAAAATCAAGTTATATTCCTTTCTCATACATATACAAAAATTAATTCAAATTGGGGTCACTTTTTATTTTAGTAAAACCACAAAATATTTTCATAATCTTGTGGTAGAAGCCTCCAAAATAAAAATAAGAAACCCAGCAGCCATAAAGAAAATATTGATAAATATGACAATTTAAAGCTGCAGTACCACAAATGTCATTATAAAGAAGTAACAATCAAGGAGAAAAATTCTCTAATAGAGTTAATAGATACAGAATCAACACCCAATATATATCAAGATTCCTAACAAATACATGAGAAAAAGAGAACTTAATTATGAGAAGTTGGGAAAGGATACGAGTAGAGAATTTACAGAAAATGGATAAGTAAATATATGAAAAATGGGCATACCTTACTAAAAATCTGGAAAATACAAAGTAAAATAGCAAGATATTCCTAATTCAACACATGGTCCAAAAGTGACCACTGATCATACCCCTGTTTGATTGAGAGTATGATGATGCAGCATTCTCATACATTTTGAGGGGAGAGTATTATTGAATCACTTTTTTTTGGAATGACAAACAGCAATTAAGTTTGAAATGCACTTGTCAGTCTATTCAATCATTTCACCTCAAGAAATCAATCATAGATTATCATAGAATTATTTGTTCTTGGGCCCCAAAATAAGGAGGAAGGTCTATAGGTGTACAAAGTTGTAAACAACCTAAATAAATACCCTTCAATAAGAAAACAGTTAATTACAACCTGGGCAACATAGTGATACCTCGTCTCTACAAAAATAAAAATAAATAATAAAAATAAAAATAATTAGCTGGGCATGGTGGTATGCACCTCTAGTCCTAGCTACTCAGGAGTCTGAGGTGGGAAGACTGCTTGAACCCAAGATTTTGAGACTGCAGGGAGCAATGATCACACCACTGCACTCTAGCCTGGGTGACAGAGAAAAAACTGTCTCTAAAACAAAATAAGCAGCCTGGCCAACATAGCAAAACCCTGTCTCTACTAAAAATGCATAAAATTACCCAGGCACGGTGGTGGGTGCCTGTAATTCCAGCTACTTGGGAGGCTGAGGCAGGAGAATCCCCTGAACCTGGGAAGCAGAAGTTGCAATGAGCCAAGATCACTGCACCCCAGCCTGGGTGACAGAGCGAGACTCTGTCTCAAAAAAATAAATAAATAAATAAATAAAACAAATAAGAACAAAAAAAAAACATTAAATAAGTAAAAAATAAAAATAAAATAGTTAAATAATGGTAGCTCTACATTTTGAAATACAGTATAGTGGTTAAAAAAAGAATGTGGCAGATCTTGTTGAACTGATATGGAGAGATGCTATATAGTCACAAAACAACAAAATAATCAAGTCCTTGAAAAATGTATGCACATATATGTTTATGTAAAAAAAAGTCTGGGTTTATATTTATGTTTGCATGTTTTTATAACTCAAAGAAAATTATCTAAAAGGATAAAGAACAAACTGATGAGAAGAATACGGGTGGAGAAGAATGTTAAGGGGAATGTTCAATTCTCATTCTATATAATTCTATACTGTTTTAATTGTATAAGAAGTGTCTACTCTTTTTATAATTTTAAAAATAAAAGAAGTAAAATATAGAGAGACAGGAAAGAAACTTTACCTGTTCTGGGCTCATGTATCGTGGAGTTCCTGTATCCTTTGTTCGCTTTTCATCATATTTCAGGGATGTTACAAGTCCAAAGTCTCCAATCTTTATTTGTTTTGAATCTACTAAGAATATATTACTTGGCTATGAAAAAAAATATTGAACTTACATGTACCAACTTGACATACTATTACCACGTCTTAATCATACACAGCAATGGCTATTTTATATTACTTATAAGACCTTTACCCCCCACCAAAAAAAAAAAAAAAAAAAAAAAAAGACCTTTACCTTTACACAGGGAGCCAAAATCAGGGAATTTAATATCGCTGGTCTTTAAAATGCCAGCTGAAACAAGTGAGGATTTCTTAGCTCACAGAAAAGGTGGCTTGGGGCACAGCTATCCCTCTGAAAAGCTGCCACATGCCAAGTAGATTCACTCTGCATGGTCCAAGGGAACAGATCCAGGACTACAGGGTGGAAATGACCGAAAGATTTGCTTTAAAATATCCTAATATCCTAATAGTGTTGTCCAAAGAATGGGAGTTGGACAGTTCTCCATCTCAAGATAGGGCTGAACAACCACTTGAGGAAATGTTGCAAACATGAGTCCATGATCTGATAGGGACATCCTTAAGATCCCTTCTAACCTTGAGATTCTCTGAATGGGTCCATTCCCAACAATACTGCTGATTAGCCTGTGCAGAATTTCTCTTGGGCTTTTTTTTTTTTTTTTCCCACGGAGTTTTGCTCTTGTTGCCCAGGCTGGAGTGTAGTGGTGCGTTCTCGGCTCACCCACAGCAACCTCCGCCTCTCAGGTTCAAGCGATTCTCTTGCCTCAGCCTTCCGAGTAGCTGGGATTACAGGCATGCGCCACCATATGGGATTACAGGCATGCACCACCATGCCTGGCTAATTCTTTTGTACTTTTAGTACAGACGGGGTTTCTCCATGTTGGTCAGGCTGGTCTCGAATTCCCGACCTCAGGTGATCTGCCCACCTCATCCTCCCAAAGTGCTGGGATTACAGGAGTGAGCCACCATGCCCAGCCTCTTGGGGGTCTTTTTTATATCAATTTCTCTAAGCCTCTGACAACTTCTTAAACATATCCCTTCCACCTTGAAAGGATACCAAGTTAATTGGAAGATGATAACTAGCTCTGAAATATTTTTTATCCATGCAATTCTTTAAGCAGATTTTTTTTTTAAAAAAGGAAAAACTGAATAGAAGTGGTCATTCTGACTCCATAGCTTTATAGGAGGTGTTTTGTTTGTTTGTTTTGTTTTGTGAGATGGAGTCTCACTCTGTCGCCCAGGCTGGAGTGCAGTGGTGCGATCTTGGCTCAGTGCAACCTCTGCTTCCTGGGTTTAAGCAACTCTGCTGCCTCAGCCTCCTAAGAAGCTGGGATTACAGGTGTATGCCACGACGCTTGGCTAATTATTTTGTATTTTTAGTAGAGACAGGTTTTTGCCATGTTGCTCAGGCTGGTCTCAAACTCCTGACCTCAAGTGATCCGCTCACCTCGGCCTCCCAAAGTGCTGGGATTACAAACATGAGCCGCCATGCCGGGCCCATAAGAGGTATTGACCAATATTCTGTTTGTTTGTTTTTGAGATGAGGTATTATTTTGTTGTCCAGGATGGATTGCAGTGGTGTGATCATGGCTCATTGTAGCCTTGACCTTCTCAGCTCAAGTGATCCTCCCATCAAAGCCTCCCAAGTAGCTGGGACCACAGGCCACAAAGCCTAAGCCATACTGACTTTCTAAAGACCATAAAAACGGGAAGGTAGTTGATGAGAAAACTAATATTTTGCCATTTTTGAAAAGGCTGGACTTTTAATGCAATCTTAGGCTATACACAAACAGACTATGGGATAACACAGTTATGAGAAGGCCTACCTAGTAAGAAACCTAAGCAGGAAGAGACAATTGGCCCAATAAAGGCTAAAGGAGGGGCTTCCGAGAAGCCAGCCTGAGATGATGGCCATGCAGAAATTAGCAGTTGGATTACAGTTCAACTGACAGTTAGATTGGAGCCTAACACCAATAATACAGATGGAAGGCTGAAGACAGATGTGGGGTGGATGTGGAGAGAAAATATTCCTATGCTATGCTCAAGTTGCAAGGTAGGAATATGTTGGGATTGCAAGTGAAACTGCTGGTCCCATATAAGGCTGTCTCACCTGACTCTAAGAAACAGAAAATTGAATTTATGAAGCTGTGTAAATATCCAAGCTGGATGAGACTAGTAAAAATATCAGATCACTTTTTATAGTTCATTAAAAAGAAAAAGTGGGCCAGGCATGGTGACTCATGCCCATAATCCCAGCTCTTTGGGAGGCTGTAGTGGTCAGACTGACTGAGCCCAGGAGTTCAAGACCAACCTTGCCAACATGGTGAAAACCTTGCCAACATGATGCCAACATGGTCTCTACCAAAAATATAAAAAAATAGCTGGGCATGGTGGCAGGTGCTTGTAGTCCCAGCTACTTGGGAGGCTGAGGCAGGAGAATTGTTTGAACTCAGGAGACACAGGTTGCAGTGAGTCGAGATTGCTCCACTGCACTCCAGCCTGAGTGACAGAGTGAGACTGTGTCTCAGGAAAAAAAAAGAAAAAGAAAGAAAGAAAAGAAAAGAATAAGAGGCTAGACACGGTGGCTTATGCCTGTAATCCCAAACTTTGGGAGGCCAAGTTTGGCAGATCACTTGAGCTCAGGTGTTTGAGACCAGCCTGGGCACCATGGTGAAGTCCTGTCTCTACAAAATATCAAAAATTAGCCTTGCTTGGTGGCCTGTGCCTATAGTTCCAGTTACTTTGGGGGCTGAAGTGGGAGGATCACTTGAGCCCAGAAGGTTGGGGCTGCAGTGAGCTGAGATCGTGCCACTGTACTCCAGCCTGGACAATAGAGTGAGAACTTGTCTCAAAAAAAACAACAAAAAAAAAAACCAATAATGTCACATTTTGTCTAATCAGCTATAATATGACTAGATAAAATATAGGGTTGTAGAGCATAAAAAAGGGTGAAACTTCACATAGGAGGCACAGGAACAGGGCTGATGCTCAGGCCAAGGACAACCAAAGAGCCGGGGCTTTAGGAGACTGAACATTTTAGAGGGAAGCAGCCTTGGACAAAAGCCCTCACTCCAGAAACCCCTATGTCCCCTCCCAGCACCCTTGGTCTAGTTTCTAAGATTCCAACAGAAATTGGTAAACATTTGGAGACTTTTATAAGAGGGACTGTACTGGGTAAAGACCATTCTCTGGCAAAACCACCTACAGCTGCTATTTTGCAAAGCATAACCCCAAAACTGTACACCTTCATTGTATCTTTTCTTAGAGGAGAGAAATCAACAACTGTAGCAGTGAGAGCTAGAAAAGTTATAGAAGATGAAGGAAGTCTCACTATCAAAGCTTGAGGCCAGGCGGAGTGCAGCACACCTGGAATGCCAGCACTTTGGGTGGCTGAGGTAGGAGGATCGTTTTGAGTCTAGGAGTTTGAGACAAGCCTCAGAAACATGGTAAGACCCTGTCTCTACAAAAAACCAAAAAATTACCCAGGTGTGGTGGTACACACCTGTGGTCCTAGCATCATGCCACTGCACTCTAGCTTGGGCAAAAGAGCAAGACCTTGTCTCAAAAATTTTTTTTTAATTTAAAAATAATAAAGTCTGACCCTTGAGCAACTGTAGCCAGAGCAAAAATTCTCTGCAAATAGATGCAAGAAAAGACCAGTCTATGACACGGGGTACACAGTGTGGGGTACAATTGGTAAATAAGTGGATAGGCACCAGTCAGAATTTTGCTAATTCATTCTGAGGACTAGGAACTTGATGACTTTACACTTCTGCATTTATTTGCAAATTATTGTATATAGAAATAAATGTGCTTATTTTGTTATTTACCTATATGTGTGATTTATCCCTAAGTGAAAGTATAACCACTCTACATTTATCCTTTTGAAATAGTCCTGATGATGTTCCAACTTCAAATAATACCTACAGATATTGTAGAAGAGACATATTGGAACCAGACAGACTCAAAACACCAAAGAATCAGGCAGCCAGTCCCTGAGCAGACCACAGAAGCAATAAGGACTATTCATTCAAATCTGAGCCCAATAAACAACTGTATGTGTGGGCACTTATTTCTCTCAAGGAATTTTTTGTTTCCTTCCTTATTCCTGGCTGTTTTAGAGGAGTGGGGCAAGCAGATAGTCACATAAATAAGGTGCTTCTGCCTAGGATAGCAAAAGGCAGTTCCAGACTGACCAGGAAAGGCTCTGTAAACAAATTACCACCAAAGGGGACAGGCAGAAGAATGTCCCATGAGAGAGAAGAACATGAGCAAAGGCCCAAGAACAGGATTTAGGATGGCCAGCATGTGGCAGGTATAGGCAAGTCACAGGGAATAGGGAATGGAGAAAAGGCTGTGAAGGGCTGTTCTGTCTCTCACCTTCTGTCATTTTGATGAGAAGTAAAAACAGGGAAACTGCTTGTCCAGACCATGAAAGCCAAAGGAAAACAAAAATACTAATGGATGACACACGTTCCCAATTTGGGATTACTGCAATTTTCCAGTAATGGGATTGAAATGCCTAACTAAGACATTATTAGACTCTGGACCCAGTAGCTGTGACAGCCCTCAAGAGTAATGACTGAGAGATTAGGGAACCATATTCCTAAAGCCACAGTCAACAGAGTCCCTTTTGCCTCTCAAATAAGCCTGAGTCTCTTAGAGGAGGCAGGAGGAGCAGGGACAGAGCAGCCAGTTGGCTGTGCCAGTCACAGTAATTATTTGCATGGAAATGTTCACTATTTGACAGCTATTAGTGCTTACATCTGGGTATGACTATCACCCAGATAGAATGAGAAGTGAATGAGCCTTTTAATAGGGCTCATTGTCACAATAAGTTCGCTAGGTAGCCCAAGAGATCTTCTAGGTAGCTGCATGGAATGGCATCCGTGGCAAGTTCTAGACCCATTCTAACATTAGAGGATCAGAAATATCATTTTCTCATAACTAGCAATTAACCACCATTCTAAAACTAGAGAAGATACACACACACAAACACACACACACACACACTTACATATATATACACACATATGTATATTTTGAGGTGAGTCTCAAGGCTGAACTCAAGTTGAGTCTCAAGTCTCAACTTTTTGTCCATGCCGAAGTGCAGTGGTGCAATCTCTACTCACTGCAACCTCCACCTCCCAGGTTCAAACAATTCTCCTGCCTCAGCCTCCCAAGTAGCTGGGATTACAGGTGCACGCCATCATATCCGGATAATTTTTGTGTTTTTAGTAGAGACAGGATTTCACCATGTTGGCCAGGCCGATTTCGAACTCATGACCTCAGGTGATCCGCCTGCCTCAGCCTTCCAAAGTGCTGAGATTACAGGTGTGAGTTATTGTGTCCAGTTGAGAAGATAAATTTTTAAATTACTAAATTATATATATCAACTAATAAAGTACTTCCACTTACCTTAAGATCTCTATGAATTAAATTTTTTGAATGTATATAATCTACCCCTGTTGTTATTTGTTCAAAGAATTCCAAAGACAAAACTTTGTCTAGTTTCTTGCCTCTTCTCTCTTCAATCCATTGCTCCAATGTCCCTTTATCACAGAATTCCATTTGGATGAAAAGGCACTTAGTCGTTGATCTGGGTATAAAATTTACAGTATGTTAAAAGTAACAATAAATATAAATTTATAAAGAAAGTCTTATCTTTTTAAAAGCTTACACCTTACCTTCTTAAGAACTCCAAAACATGTCTCAAAATAGAAATCTAAATATAATAAATTCGAATCAAAATATAATAAACCATTTTTTATTTCAATAATAAGCTCCCAGATGTCCAGAGCTTTATTTGTTTAGCTAATTTATAAAATATGAGCTGGGCCGGGCATGGTGGCTCATGCCTATGATCCTAGCACTTGGGAGGCAGAGACATGTGGATTGCTTGAGCTCAGGAGTTTGAGACCAGCTTGGGCAGCATGGTGAAACCCCATCTCTCCTAAAAATACAAAAATTAGCTGTGTGTGGTGGCGCAGCACCTGTAGTCACAGCTACTCAGGAGGATGAGGCATGAGAATCATTTGAACCCAGAAGGTGGAGGTTGCAGTGAGCTGAGATTGAGCCACTGTGCTCCAGCATGAGAGACAGAGTGAGACTCTGTTTCAAAAAAGAGAAGAAAAAAAAATGAGCCACCCACTCTTTATTGCTGAAGATCTGCAATCATCTTCAGAATAGACAGAAAGAGGAACATGAATACAATAGAGTTGCAGGAAACTAAATTTCATTATTCTATAAAGTAATTTTGAAACCTTTCAATTCATCATCGAACTACTGAGCATGAAAGGTACCTAGAGATGAGAAAATGAGTCAGACACTATCCTTGCCATCATGGGGATAATAGCCTAATAGGAGAGAGTAAGGGAAAAGCAAAGCTGAAACAATAGGAAAGGTACTCTAGAAGTGCCAGCAAATTACTACGAGATGTAAATCAGATGATTGATTTACTTTTATGCTAACCATGTTGTATTTATTTCTGAATTAAGTTAGCCTCAATATTAATTTATATTCTTTGTATAAGTCAGCTTGAAAACAGGAAGAGGCAGCCAAGAATTTGCAGAAAGCTTAAGTCCTGTATGCTGATGGTCAGTAACTCCTGAAACTGACGATAAAGTTCTCAGTTACATGTGGTGGAGATGGAGGTGGAGGCAGGAGAAAATGAATGAACAGGACCCCATTGGCCTCAGGATTTTAGTGAGAAGGCTAACCCCAAAATAGGTGGGGTGACTTTCAAAGACAGATGCCAGCACTTTAGGATCTCCAGTTGTTTGGCAGTGGCTTACCTAACATAAAACACGAGGGTGCCCCCATCTCACCTTGTGGTCTTAAAAATTATTTTCACTGCCCGCCACCCCAGCATAAGTGGTATAGCTACATTTCAAAGAAACCCTTGAACTGCACCACACCAATCACAGCCTAAGAGAGGGACAGAAGAGCGTTGGTAGCTGAGGAGGGAGCCCTCAGATGCAGCATCTATATGCTAAAACTTTCTCCACAAGACTACATTTACAGCCTGTACTGAAGCCGGCACATACACAAGGCCCTCCATTACACAATGGTGTCAGTAAAGCTGAACCTGAGATTTTTGAAGACAGCTGAGGATATAACAAAGGGTTGTGAGAGCAAGTTTGCAGCAAGGAGAGGAGCAAGGAAGAGATTTTCATTTTTCCTTACCTGCAGAATGGAGAGATAACAGTGTCTCTCAGAGGAAATTGTGATTATTAATCTTGGTAATTAATGGCCTTATCCAGTGGCCCACACAGAGTAAATAACGGTTTACTTTCATCTTCTTATGACTATGAGAATTTCTTTTTAGTTACCTTAAATTATTTTTGCTGTTCTCAGGATCATAATCACTGCTCTCAGGATCATAATCACTGCTCTCAGGATCATAATCAAATCCATCCCAACAGCCATTGTAGTGAACAATATTTACATGATCAAGTTCTGCCAATGCTTTCACTTCACGCTCCACCTTGCTGGTTAAAAGGCACAAGGAACATGGAAGTGTCAGTGTACATCCCTAATAACAACCACAGAACAAAACTATTGACATTCCTTATTAAACCATTGCTGTTCTCACACAATTTTAGAATGGAAGCCAGGAGATTCAAAAGGAAAAAGTGAACATACCGAAAAAACCATAGGTGTTCTCACTCCCACTCTTTTGTTTTATCTCAACATAAAACAAAAGGCAGCAACTTCAATAATGCCAAACATTAGACAATTTAAAAATCATTTGTAGCAGGCTTGAAATGCCAGTGATAGGGCCGAGTACGTTGGCTCATGCCTGTAATCCCAGCACTTTGGGAGGCCAAGGCAGGCGGATCATGAGGTCAAGAGTTCAAGACCAGCCTGGCCAACATGGTGAAACCCCATCTCTACTAAGAATACAAAAATTATCTGGGTGTGCATGGTGATACGTGCCTGTAATCCCAGCTACTCGGAAGGCTGAGGCAGAATTGTTTGAACCTGGGAGGCAGAGGTTGCAGTGAGCCGAGATCACAACACTGCACTCCAGCCTAGGTGACAGAGCAAGATTCCATCTTGGAAAAAAAAAAAGAAAAGAAATGCCAGTGATGCAGTTTTAATTCATTTATTTTATTGAGACAGGGTCTCACTTTGTCTCCCAAGTTGAGTGCAGTGGCACAATCTTGGCTCATTGCAGCCTCAACCTCCCAGGCTCAAGAAGTCTTCCCATCTCAGCCTCCTGAGTAGCTGGGACCACAGGAACACACCACCACATCCGTCTACTTTTTAAATATTTTCTGTAGAGATGGAGTTTTGCCATGTTGCTCATGCTGGTCTCAAACTCCTGGGCTCCAGCAACCTACCTGCCTCGGCCTCCCAAAGTGCTGGAACTGTAAGCATGAGCCACTGGATCCAGCTGATGCAATTTTTCATAGCTAAATCATACATTATGTTTTGCTTAGACTTTGTTAAAATCTTTAGATTTCACAAGCAAACCACATTTGGTGGCAAGGCTAGGTAACCCAGGCAGTGTAAAGTACCTAATTCACGATTTTCAATATGTGGCAAAAATACACAAAAGGACAATTTATGCAGAGAAGGTGAGATGGTGAGAGGCATTATAGGGATGTACTGCCAAGACCTAAGACAATTCCATGCTAAATGCAGTAAATAATTTGGAGTAAATAATTTGCAGTAAATAATTTGGAGGTCTCAAAGATGAGGAAGGATAAACAAACATTTTACAATTTTATTTTTTAATGCAAAAAGTTCTAAACTATATGACATAAAATTTGCAAAAACAAAGAAAAAATTACTGATATGTTGACAATCCTATAACAATGTTATTATTTTAGCTTCCTTCTTACAATCTGTTATTTTTCCTTCCTTCCTTCCTCTCTTCCTCCCTCCCTCCCTCTCTTCCTTCTTTCCTTCCTTCCTTTTCTTTCTTTCCTTCTTTTTTTTTTTTTTTTGAGACAGGGTCTCGCTCTGTCACCCAGGCTGGAGTGCAGTGGCAGTCTTGGCTCACTGCAACCTCTGCCCCTAGGGCCCAAGTGACCCTTCCACCTTAGCCTCCCAAGTAGCTAGGACCACAGGCACATACCACCACACCCAGCTGGTTTTTGTAATTTTTGTAGAGACAGGGTTTTTGCCATGTGGCCCAGGTTGGTCTTGCACTCCTGATCTCAAGTAATCTGACAGCCTCAGCCTCCCAAAGTGTTGGGATTACAGGCGTGAGCCACCATGTCTGGCCAGTCATTTTTAATGGCTGCAAAATAGCCATTGATCAGGGTACAGAACAAAACATGTTTACTCATTTCTTAACTGCTGGATATTTTGTTTGTTCTAATTTTTCACTGTTAATGAACGACATTGTGATTTAGATCTTCTTGGATATAAATCCATAATTTAAATAATATTTTTTTTTAAGATAGGGTCTCACTGTCACCCAGGCGGGTAGTGCAGTGGTGTGATGATGGCTCACTGCAGCCTCCACCTACCAGGCTCAGGTGATCCTCCCACCTCAGCTTCTCGGGTAGCTGAGACTACAAGCATGGCTACCACACCCATCTAACTTTTCTATTTTTTGTAGAGATAGAGTTTCGCCATGTTGCCCCAGGCTGGTCTCAAACTCCCGAGCTCAAGCGATCCACCTGCCTTGTCCTCCCTAAATAATATTCTTAAAACAGATTCCCAAACAGGAAACCCTTGGGCCAAAGTATATAAAAAAATTTATGGCTTCAGATTAATATTTCCAAAGATATTTTAAAATATGTTATATCAATGTATAAACTACCGGAAATGACCAAGACACTGGACCAACATCAACATTATTATACTTTTATTTTTTTTTTTGAGATGGAGTCTCTGTCACCCAGGCTGGAGTGCAGTTGCACCATCTCGGCTCACCGCAGCCTCTACCTCCCAGGTTCAAGTGATTCTCCTGCCTCAGCCTCCCAAGCAGCTGGGATCACAGGCACCCGCCACTATACCTGGCTAATTTCTGTATTTTTGTAGAGATGGGGTGGTTGGCCAGGCTGGTTTCGAACTCCTGACCTCAAGTAATCTGCTGGCCTTGGCCTCCCAAAGTGCTGGGATTACAAGTGTAAGCCACTGCACTCCACCCTCATTTATTCATTTTATTTTTGACACTGGGTCTCACTATGTGGCCTAGGCTGGTCTCAAACATCTGGCCTCAAGCAATTCCCCTGCCTCAGCCTCCCAAGTAGCTGGGATATTATTATCATTTGTTACAACTTCTATCTAATAGAAGGAATAACAGTACATCAGTCCTTCATTCCTGTTAAATAAAACAATGAAGAGAGTAGGAATTACCCTATTTCAAATGCAAAGCATTGTGCATGAGAGAAGAAGTAGGTTTGTTAATCTGGGATGAAGAACACCCAGCACTCCATGCCTGCCTTTCCTTTGCACATCTCATTTTCCTTAAACCAGATCCCTTTCCCATCTCCTTTGCTAGTCTTTGAGGGATCAGTTTGGCCAAGCTATACACAGTAACAACTGCCAGAGTGCAACAAGCAAGATTGGTGAACTGGTGGCCATGTGATTTAAGACTGCCTTTCTATGGAGGTTTTCCTTCCTGTTCTGCTATCCAGCAGGAGTGAGAGGGTAGATAATACACAAAACAAATGTTGGAAGCAGTGGGTTACAGCGCGAACACATTGAATTGGCATTCCAGGGGATGAGTTCTAAATCCCCACCTTATTACATAGGAGATCATGTCCAAAGATAATCTTGATCTGTTCTTTATCATCCCATACATGCTTCCACTCCTTAAATTGAGAGGTAGAGCCTATTTGCCCTCCCCTTGAATCTAAGCTGGCTTCAGTGACTTGTTTAACCAATGTAACTTGGTGGTAGTGACATTCTAGAACTCCTCAGACTAGGTCAAAAGAAGCCTTGCCCCTCACTCCTCGTCTCTTGGATGACTTGTTCTGGGGACAATCCTTCTTGACACCCAGTCACTAAGTTGTAAGAAGCCCAATCCCCATAAAGAGGCCATGTGGAGGTATTCTGGTTCACAGTCCCAGCTGAACTTCCAGCCCAGAGCCAGTGTCAATTGCTAGCCAGCTTGGATATCCGGCCTAATCAAGGTTTCAGATGACTACTGACTGCAAATGCCTGGGAGACCCCAAGTAAGAATTGTCCAGATGAGCACAATCAAACCACAGAACCATTAGAGATAACAATAAATTGCTGTTTTTAAGCCACAGCATTTTAGAACAGTGCCTTATGCAATAGCAGACAACCAGAGAACAAATACCGTCTAGCTTTTACCTTAGACAAAAATCACTTCACATCTCTGGATCTTAGTCTCCTCATCTGTAAAATAAGGAGGTAAGACTAGAACATCTCAAAGATAACCTTTTTTGTGAGTAATGACAAGTTCTATTTGGTGCCACGGTTTGAAAAATATGGAGCGTTTTATGAATTTGCATGCCACCTTAAACCAAATGACTCTATAGTTTCAGTTCTGAAGGCAACATCAAAGGGATGACCAATGCTACATCCATTATTATTGAAATAACCATAGTAAAGTGAGATCATCTTAGAGTACGCCAAACTCCTCTTGGTAGAATGAAATATTTAATGAGGACCAGAAAAAAAAAACAAATGATATCCTAATAAAGAAGAGAGAAGCATAAGAAGGCATAGTGCAGATTGAGCATACCTATCCATTCAAAAAAATGAAAACATTTACTACTTACTCGCTATTATATTTAACACGTTTAATAACGTAAGTCTTTTTGTCAATTCTGTGTTTTGCTTTGAAAACTTGGCCAAATGCACCTGAGCCAATTAATTCTATTTCTTTAAAATCCTTGCCAAACCTTAAAGAAGAAAAAAACAACAACAGTTATTTTGACATTTGGTGCTCACCCCTTCCCCGCTTCCCCGCTCCCTTCCCTTTAATGTCACTTGTGAAATAGACAGTATAACAAACATGATTCTCTCCTGAATAAGGAAGATCCACTTGGCAGAAGCTCTTGATTCACAGAGGCTCACTCCTCCCAGGGCAAGTCCAACATAACAGATCACCCCCGGCAGTCACAGTCAACTGCTGGCTTTTCAACAGCCATGATAAGGCCAGGCACAGTGACCCATGCCTATAATCCTAGCACTTTGGGAAGCCAAGGCAGGTGGATCCCCTGAGGTTAAGAGTTCAAGACCAACCTGGCCAACATGGTTGGCTTCCAATATTTTATGTTATTATTTTATTTATTTATTTATTTAGATAAGAGTCTTGCCCCTGTCACCCAGGCTGGAGTTCAGTGGTGCAGTATCGGCTCACTGCAACCTCTGCCTCCCAGGTTCAAGCAATTCTCCCGCCTCAGCCTCCCAAGTAGCTGGGACTACAGGCATGTGCCATCATGCCCAGCTAACTTTTGTATTTTTAGTAGAGATGAGGTTTCACCATGTTGACCAGGCTGGTCTAGAACTCCTGACCTCAGGTGATCTACCCGCCGTGGCCTCCCAAAGTGCTGGGATTACAGGTGTGAGCCACTGCACCTGGCCTGGCTGCCAATATTTTAATCCCCACCCATTCTCCCCGCAGTACTCCTATTCTCCTAATTAAAAAACCAGATGGCTCCTATAGACTGGTTCAGGATTTGCAACAAATCAACTCCGCTATTGTTCCTGTTTGTCCTGTTGTCCCAAACCCCTACACTCTCCTATTGCAAACTCCTCCCAACACTAGCTATTTCTCTGCATTAGACCTCAAAGATGCCTTTCATACTATCCCTCTACATCCCTCCTCTCAAAACGTTTTTGCTTTCACTTGGACTGACGCTGATACAGGCTACTCCCAACAGCTCGCCTGGACTGTCTTCCCCTGGGGTTTAGGGACAGGCCTCACGATTTCGGTCAGGCACTTCAACTGGACCTCTCCCAACTACCTTTACCACCTGGCGTTTTGCTTCAACATGTGGACGATTTACTCATTTGCAGCCCCTCTCTAGAACATCGTATTCAACACACCACCGGGCTTTTAAATTTTTTGGCTAAATGTGGGTACTTGGGATCCAAAAGGAAGGCCCAATTTTCCTCTCCAAACGTTTCATACCTAGGATTAATCATAACTCAAAATACTCAAGAAATTCCACTGACATGAAAGCAAGGCATTCAACAAATCCCATTTCCTAACACAAAAAGGGACTGACTTTCTTTCTTTGGATTAGTGGGATATTTCCCATTACAGATGGCAAATTTTGCCACTATCGCTAAACCTCTTTATGAACACACAAAAGGAAATCTTGACCAACCACTCATTCCCACCCCAGACCTTTATCAAGCTTTTTCTCACCTAAAACGTACCTTATTACAGGCCCCGCTTAGGCCCTCCAAACCCACTAAGATCTTTACATCTACATTTACACAGTTCTCATAATCAGGCCCTTGGACCATTAGCCCAACCTACGGGAGATTCCCTCCAACCAGTGGCATATTTTTCAAAACAACTTGACCTCATTTACAAAAGCCGGCCCCTTTGCTTAAAAAATTTGGCCACAATCTCTTTAATTATCCCTGAGGCACAGACTCACATTCTATGAACCTCTTCAGGTATTTTCTTCTCACAGTCTATAGGATATGCTCAGCCATAAGGCACTCACTTCCATCTCATTCCCTAGCATGCAAGTCCTACATTCAACCCTCCTTCAACCCTCTCTCTCTTCATAGATGTTCCCCCCCAATCCTGCTACTCTTTTATCTTCAACACTAATTTTGGACCACGACCAACCCTCATGCTCTGATCCAACTGAAAGTTCTCTCACCATGTTTCACCACCTTACTTCTATTCACATAAAGGGAGCCCTAGATTAGTTTATAGCACATCAAAAAACCCTTCCCTCCAAGCAGGATGTGCCATCACTGAGGGATATCATGAGGATACCTACTCTCTTCCACCTAGAAGAATTATAAAGCCTGCCCCCTTGCCTTTGGGCACATCCTCCCAACAAGCAGAATTAGTTGCCCTAATTAGAGCATCAACCCTACCAAAAAACACACAAGTTAATATATACACTAATTCTAAATATGCCTATAATATCAACGATTCCACTGCCCAAATTTGGAGCAAGCGGGACTATCTCACAGCTAAGGGAACTCCTATCATTGATGGAAAACTAGTCCATCATCTACTAAAGGCAGCTCTACTTCCAGAAAAAGTTGCAGCTTTCTATTGCAAAGGATGCCAATCAGATAAAAGACACATTTCTTTTGGGAATCGTGAGCCTGACTATTGGGCAAAACACGCCTCCAACCAATCATCCAATTCTCCAATATCTATTTCCCCTCACACAACATATCACCTCCTTTTATCCTGAACACCAAGTACAACAACATGGTGAAACCCTGTCTCTACTAAAAATAAAAATAAATACATTAGCTGGGCATGGTGGTGTGTGCCTGTAATCCCAGCTACTTGGGAGACTGAGACAGGAGAATCACTTGAACCTGGGAGGCGAAGGTTGCAGTGAGTCAAGATCATGCCATTGCACTCCAGCCTGGGCGACAAAGTGAGACTCCATCTCGTAAAAAAACAAAAACAAAAACAAAAAAAAACTAATCACAGCAGGGGCACAATTCAAACTCCCATACGGGTTCATACAAAACAAATCAGTCCTACCTGACCCTGAAAAGATAACTCTTTTATGGGACATCCACAGCCTCTTCCATGCTAGCCATTCCCTTCTACAACATTTCTTAAGTTCCCACACACGCATAAGCCGAGATATGATGGAACAGTTGAAAGCCATTTCCCATCAATGCTCTATTTGCCAGAAAGCTTCACCCCACTCCAACACTAGAGCCCCTTCTTTTCCAACTCATCCAGCCAGGGGACATCTTCCAGGACAAGACTGGCAAATTGATTTTACCCAAGTAAAAAAGGTTTGATTTCTTTTGGTTCTGGTTGATACCTTTTCGGGATGGGTCAAGGCTTTTCCCACAACCAACAAGCGAGCTTCTACTATCACCTCCAAATTAATGACAGAAATCATTCCCAAGTTCAGGTGCCTCTTTCTTTTCAATCTGATAATGGTTCTGAATTCATTTCTCAAATTACTCAAACACTTGCACAAGCCCTACGAATCTGGAAGCTACACATCCCCTATCGACCTCAATCTTCAGGAAAGGTTGAAAAAATGAATAGCATGCTAAAAAACACCCTCACATAAAGACTGGGTTACACTTTTACCTTTGGCCCTTCTAAAAATTCGGGGACTCCCACATAAACCTTTAATGCTCAGCCCCTTTGAACTCCTGTGTGGGAGACCTCGCTCCTTCGGTTCCACCTCAGGGTCAAGGCCCACCTCTAACAACCCCTCTCGTTTCCCCTCTTCTGCATGCCATCTGCCATTTCATTTGGGAATATGCTGACAAATACCTGCCACAACCTGTCACTGACCTCTCTAATCCCTTCCTACAACCAGGAGACTGGGTTCTGGTAAAAGATCCCAGCCTTCCCTCCAATTCCCGCCTCACACCAAAATGGAAGGGGCCGTACCAGATCATCCTTCCTACACCCACAGCAGCAAAGACAAAGGGACTCCCCAGCTGGCTTCATTATAGTTCTCTCAAGAAAACAGACTTCCTTTCACTGCAAACTCACACAACCAAATCTAAACCCCCTTCAGCGTTCTCTTGTGTCTCCATAGGACCCACTTCCCTTCGTCTCACCCAAATGCCGGAGGAAAAGGAAGAGAAATTCACCTAAGCAGCTATGTCTCTTTGTCTCCCAGACTTTCATTTCTTCCTAACTAACCTTGTTACAGACCTTCAGTGGTACCCTTACGAAACTCCCATCATATATCCTGATTGGTTCCTACTATTCCATATTTATGGCTTCAAAAAACTTTCCAGGACTTTACTTCTACCCAAATAACTTTTTTCTCCTTTTGCTTGTTTCTTTCAATATAAATTCCCTAATGACATCAACCTCACCAATACAACCACTCCTCACTGCTCTCAAACTAGAATGTTCTATAAATCTTACACAACCCCTCTTGCTGCAAGCTCTCTTGCTTTGCTCCAGAATGCAGGATGTGTTTATTGCTGTCTTCCTCAGCTTACACAGCCCTTCCTATACTCTGTCATGACCTTTTAATAGGAAACATATCCCTAATCTATAAACTCCAAAAAGGAGCTTCCTTTTATGAAAGAGCTGACACTCTGGTCAGCGATTATCCCACCTCCATGGCCAACGAGGCCAACAAACTATTTCAAACGTATTACAATTCCCTACAATGCCTTAAGCCCCAAGGCCCTCCCATTGAAGGGCTCATAACTAAACACCCTCCTCTTTTACAACAAGCTTCACTTTGTTTTTCAGCCTCTGAGGGAAATTTCCCTGTAAGGTCCTTAACACTTGACTAATGTAACCGCACTATCATTGTTAAACACCCATCTGACCATCAAACTAACCAAGTTGACCAAGTTGAAGTGAATGGACCATTTCTGCAACCTACTCCTTTTACAGCCTCTCCCTCGACCAATGCCTCTGGCCTAATTTGTGCCGTCCCTAGTGCACATCCCGTAAAGCTCTTTCCACAGAGCTACAGGGTTCTTTAGAAGATAGACCCTGAAGGCTTACAAGAGTCCAAGACAAACTAGACTCCTTGGCTGTAGTAGTCCTCCAAAATAGATGGGGACTAGATCTTATAATGTCTGAAAAAGAGGACCTCTGCCTCTCACTGGGTGAGGAATGCTGCTTCTATCTCAACCAATCCAGCCTAGTAAGAGACGATGCTGAAAACCTTAAAGAAAGGACTAAAAAGCTAAAGGGATAGCTGTAGGGTCCAGCCCCGCAGGGTCTCATGGGTGTCCTTTTGTGTGTGGAGATGACAGATTGCAGGAAAGAAAGACATAAGGATTCAGAGATAAGAGAAGAATTCAGGTGGACTTGGGGGACCACTGCTACCAAGGCACGGAGTCCAGCAATGGCCCCGAATGCCTGGACACGCTGATATTTATTGTATAAAAGGCAGGGGACAGGGCCAGGTGAGTGACTTATTTGACATGATTGGTAGGGGTCAAGCAAATCACATGCTTTCAATACGGGGGGCCACATGGGTACAGTACAGGGGGTCACGTGGGTATAGTACAGGGACCCCTCCCTCTCATGTAGCCACTGCAAGGAGGGGAGGCACATAGGTCAGTATTTTTCTATGCACTTACCAGAGAGATCAAAGGCTTTTAGAATTCCTCTATTCTTACTTGTCACAACTTCTAAGAATTTACAAGGGAGCACTGGGTGGGAAAGTGGAACATGAAAGTGGACAAGGATGGTGACCATCGGAGCACAGCACCACGGAGAGGTGTTTAAGCCCCTGGATATCTGTGGGCCGGCCTGACTAGTGTTAGACCTTCCTCAAGAGCTGGACAGAGCAGAGTATTCTCTGAACTCCCCAGTGAAAGGGAAACTCCCCCTCATGGCCTGCCTCCCCAGGCACTGGCGCTACTGCAAGGCCTGCCTGCTAAGTAAGGGGCACCTTACCAGGCACTGGTGCTACTGCAAGGCATTTACTTTTGCCTCCTGATCACTTCTCAAAATGTCCCTTCAGTTCTGAATTATATTTCACCTGATTATTTCTATACTATAAGGCTAAAAATGTTCCTACACTATAATACTAAAGCAAAGGTTAATAATAGAGAATAATAATGTAATAAGATTGATTTATATAATTAATTATGTGATTGTATCTAAGTCTATTTGGTATCATTGCTATAACTAAGTGATCGTTTATTATGCTGGGACAGATTGTGCCTTCAGTCTCTTGCCATGGCACCTGGGCAACTTTCTTCCCACAATTAGCAAAATATCCAAATAGATTCTTGGTTTGGGAACAAAATCATCACATGGGTCATCTCATTCCTGGGCCCGCTCCTAATGATATGCCTAGGACTAATGCTCTTAACCTGCCTAATTGACCTGATTCAAAGATTTTTAACCAACAGGATCATGGCCATTTCACAGAAAACTATCCAAAAACATCTACAGAAGGCATTACTCCTACAGTTAATCTGAGACCAAAGAACTCTCCACCTCCCCTGCTCTACAGGAAGTAGCCAGAAAAAACATGCTGCCCTTCATCATTTTATAACTGTAGGAGCTGGATGACAGAACAGGAGCATTGCCATCTTGGACAAGCACCACCATTTTAAGTTCCCCTTGATTAAAAACTGCCTAAATCCAGCTCAAAAAACAGTCTAATGGCAAATGTCAGCATGACCATAAACCACAAATGACACCTCCAATCAGAAACATTCCAATTTTGAGATAAACCCCCACTGGCTAGAGACATGCCAACCCGAAATAACCTCCCCTCCAACCGGAAACATGCCAGCCCAAGATAACCTCCCCTCCAACCAGAGACATTCTACCCCCACCATAAAACTCTCCTCCACCCAGAAACATTCCAAATCTGCAATAAGCTCTCACTCCCTAACCCTTAAATACCCTTAGTTTGTAAGAGAGAATGCTCCTGACTGAAATCGGCCAGAAACCTCTCTCAGGTTTATTCTCCAAAATAAACCTGTCTTTGTCTGTTGAGCCACTTTTCACAGTTCCTTCTTCTTTCTTCAGCTCTTAAAATCTTACCTCGTATCCATAGTATATTTTGTTCCTTTCATGTCAGGAGGGTCAAATCTAGGCGCCAAATTAGGCCTAAAAATTAAGAGTTGAATATAAAACTCAAAATTGAAATCAAATATAACTTGTTTAGTGTTAATGTTAACCTTTTTCTTTTTTCTTTTTTTTTCTTCTGAGGCAAGGTCTTATTCCATCTTTCAGCCTAGAGTGCAGTGGTATGATCATAGCTCACTATAACTCTGAAATCTTGGGCTCAGAGGAGATCCTCCCACCCCAGCCTCCCAGGTAGCTGGGACTACAGGCGTGTACTACCATACTTAGCTCATTCTTTTTATTTTTTGTAGAGAAGGGGTCTTTCTATATTACCCAGTCTGGTCTTAAACTCCGGAACCAAAGCCATCCTCCCACCTTGGCCTCCCAAAGTGCTAAGGAATACAGATGCAAGTCACTGTACCCAGCCAAGTTTTTTTTTTTTTTTTTTTTTTAATAAAACTATTAACTTACAGTTTTCCTCTGGTCTCTAATACTGTTTCATCTCTCTCCTGGCTCCTTTTTCTACCTTAGAGCATTCATTGTTGATGTGTCACTAACCTCACCTTTTCCTCCTCCAGACTCAAAACCTCAGGAAGCAAATCTCCTTCCACTCTCATCCTAGCTGTTATTCCTCACTGATGATAAGCCACCTGCAATTGGAAATTTAAGTACCACCTAAAACTAAACATATCCAAAATGCTGTCTTCCCTGAAAGCCCTCAACTCCTCAACTTCCTTAACACTATTAGTGCCATGGTTCTTGACTGCACCCTGTTCAAAGTGAAACAATCTTCAAATCCTTTCTCCCTTACCTCTTCTTCATGCTTTGACTCAGCTATGGGAATCTGTTTCCTCAGGTCATGTCCACTCTCCTCTCCATCCAAGCATCTACATCAAGAATCATCACCTTTCTTCAACACATTTATCCACTGCTCAGAATATACTAGTGGATCATAAGGGCTCCTACTGCCTTCTTACCCTCATTTCCAACTATATTTACATATTTGCCTTTCTCTTCAGTTAACTGACATAGCATTTGACCTTTTTTAATCCAAGTTTTTATGTTATTTTAAACTTGTCTGCAAAATAATACACTTCTCTTGAAAACACTTCTACAGTGAAAACAGCCCAATTCCTTGCCAGCCTCATATAATATGATGCCCTTAACCTAATTACACTAGCAATACCCCCATAGGGCTTTATGTCTATGGTATAGTATGCATTTACACTCAAAGATTTCTTGACACATCTAAAATTATTTGTTTATAGATTTCAAACTGTCTGCTTCTGAAACTCCACTCAAATAAGGGTATACATGACAAGTATTAAAAACAATAAATAAGTCTGAAATAAAACTTCAGTTCAAAATATGTTCAATGCATAATGATACTCACCTTTTTACCTTCCTTTGATTATTTCTGAGGCCATTCTATAACAAAAGAAAATGGGAAATAGTTTCAGATGACTAAATCAATAATCTTCCTCTCTCTTGTTATCCTTTCTCTTATATTTCTAGATGGCTCTCTGACTAATTTCTTAGTCCATCCATATCTATATTCTATATTGAAGACTTAATTTTTGCCAATCTAACGAGTTTAAAATAGTATCTACTTGTTTTGATTTACATTTTCCTGATTCCTAGTAAAGTATCTTTTAATATTTGCCACCCATTGGGTACCTCTTCTCTGAACTGTTTATATGCTTTATATATTTTTCTACTGAGTTGCCTTTTTCTTACTGATTTGTACTTCTTTATAACAGAATACTCTCATAACACTAATCATCAAAAGCATGGATTTTGCTTTAACTCCAGCATTGCCTCCTTATGTGCACAAAAAATTATCTGATTTTTTTTTTTATTTTTTGAGATGGAGTCTCACTATGTTGCCTAGGCTGGTCTTGAACTCCTGGGCTAAAGCGATCCTCCCACCTTGGCCTCACAAGTGGCTGCAGACTGCAGGCATGTACCACTGCATCAGGCCAAAAAATTATCTGATTTCAAGTTTACTTTTAATGTTAAGTTTAATTCTAATTTTTAAAAACAGAAACAAAACTATATTAGTGAATCTTTAAATATCCCATTGGTGGGAGAAAAAAGCAAGATCATAGGAATCTATTAAAATATAAGGTTGAGTGAGGAAAGACAGAAGTAACGTGAAAGAATGAGGCATGCAACTTAATTTTAAAGAGTCAAAGGGCTATTGAATATTATCATTTAGTAAGAGTGCATAAGATAAAAATATAAAAACTATGTTGGAATACTGGAAGTTGTTTTTTTTTTTTTTTTTTTTTTGAGACGGAGTTTCACTCTTGTTACCCAGGCTGGAGTGCAATGGCGCGATCTCGGCTCCCCGCAATCTCCGCCTCCTGGGGTCAGGCAATTCTCCTGCCTCAGCCTCCTGAGTAGCTGGGATTACAGGCACGCGCCACCATGCCCAGCTAATTTTTTGTAGTTTTAGTAGAGACGGGGTTTCACCGTGTTGACCAGGATGGTCTCGATCTCTTGACCTCGTGATCCACTCGCCTCGGCCTCCCAAAGTGCTGGGATTATAGGCGTGAGCCACCGCGCCCGGCCCATTGGAAGTTATTTTTAAATGAGGAAACACACAGAAAAATAAGATTAAGTAGGAAGCTTCAAGACTAATACGATACCATAGGCAATGAAGAACAATTGTTTAAACTACTGTTACAATTTATCTCTGATGTATCTTCTGAGAAACTACTTTCAGGTGATGATTCAGACGCCCTAGAAGAAAAGGATGTAACTATTAGTCTACTGTTTTTATCACTGATTCTTTCTCTAAATTCTCCTTAAACATTAAATGTTTTTATAAAAATTTCCCTTTCAGACAGCAATAAGAATATGTTAAATATCTTAATTGTTTGTCTACACTTACAATGTGCTGGTCACTAAAGAGTTGTTTTGGATGTCACACACAGGAGTAAAAGAACCAGAGGATATGGAGTCAGCTTTCTGAAAGAAAGAGTGCCCATTAGTAGGCTTAAATGCAACTAATTATTTCTCTACAGAGGCTCAGTTTCTGTGTACTATCACATTTATTTTGACACAGTTATCAAATTCACAACCATAAACAATTACAAGATTAATAACTTTTTTATGGATGTTTGGTCTGGATTTTATTTTTTATTTTACTTTTCTGGATCACGGGGCAGATAATTTTTTGTTTGTTTGTTTGTTTGTTTTTGAGACAGGATTTGGCTCTGTCATTCAGGTTGAAGTATAGTGGCACCATCTTGGCTCACGGCAACCTCCACCTCCCAGGCTCAGGCAATCCTCCCATCTCAGGCTCCCGAGGATTGTAGTCTCAGCTGGAACTACAGGTGCATTCCACCACACCTGTTTTTTTTTTTTTTTTTTTTGTAGAGACACGGTTTTGCCATGTTGCCCAGGCCAGGCTGGTCTCAAACTCCTGAGCTCAGGAGATCTACCAGCCTTGGCCTTCCAAAATGCTAAGATTACAGGTGTGAGCCACCATGCCCAGCCTGGTCTGGATTTTTAAAACCACCCTGAGTTACCAACAGAACTTTTATCCCTCTGAGGCCTCGTGGCCCCATGGCACATGGTTCATTGGTGTGACACAGACTGGATGAATCATTTTGCTAAATCACTGGATGTCTTGGCATAATGTAAACACAGTCTAACCTCAAGTCAACTTCAGAGGGAATTTTAAACCACAAAAATTTAATGCAAAGGCAGTACATACCACTGAGGTTTCTTCTGATTTATGTATCTGAAGATATGCAAGTTTAGCAGCCAGTTGTTTTGCTTCCTGTTTAGTAGAACCTGTACCAATACCATATTCTTTCTGCCCCACTTTGCATTTATAATGAAATCTAGGAGAAATCATGGAAGGTACTTATACAAACATGAAAAATATAGTAAATCCAACTTAAAAAAACCATAGTAACAGAGATCTTAAGATAACACTAATTTATTAGTTTTATATTTCATATCTTGCATAATTTAAACCTTCAGTAACATGCCTGACCAATTTCTCTGAATAACCAGGATCAGCTGATATCTGAGCTTGCATTTTCCAGGCAATTTCTAATTTTTTGGGGTTTTTTTTGCTTAAAGATCTGGCACAAAGGCACTAAGTAGTGATTTTTTTCTTTAATTCCCCAAAGGCCAAAAGGTATGGAGGTAGAAATAAAAGAGATCCAGCAGAGGATCTTTTTTTCAGAGGTGCTCAAATGGGAAAGAAAAAGCCAGTAGAGAAAGTGAGGCTTCCACAGGAGAAGCTATGAGGTTACAGTGCTGTGGCTTTGTAGGGGAGGAGCAAAGCATGGATTCTGCTCTAACTTCAACACTGTCTGCCATCTGCTTATGTGCACAAAAATTGAGAAAATCCCCACAGTGGGCCAGGCTTGGTGGCTCACGCCTGTAATCCCAGCACTTTGGGAGGCCAGGGTGGGTGAATCATGAGGTCAGGAGTTCAAGACCAGCCTGGTCAATATCATGAAACCCCGTCTCTACTAAAAATACAAAAAAATTGGCTGGACATGGTGGTGTGCACCTGTATTCCCAGCTACTCAGGAGGCTGAGGCAGGAGAATCGCTTGAACCTGGGAGGTGGAGGTTGCCGTGAGCCAAGATTGCACCACTGCACTCCAGCCTGGGTGACAGAGCAAGACTTCATCTCAAAAAAAAAAAAAAGAAAGAAAGAAAGAAAAAGAAAAGAAAATCCCCACAGTGCAGATGCCTGATACTAAAGTCCACACTCTCCTCCTGTTAAATGCAAAAACATATGTGGCTAGGTAAGGACACTTGGACAATTATATAAGAATTATCTTTCAGGGATAAAACAATGGACATGGCAATTTACATCATAGAGTTACTATATATTACTGCAAAATTATTCCAGTATTTGCACTCTTTTTCCTTTGTGTTTCCACTGGAGGCCATCGAGAGAAACACATTCAAACAGGGTGAGTCTTCCCTGCTAGACCCTGAATTAAATAGCTGGGTTAAGTGACTGGATCGTTTCTATAGCTTCTATATTTTTCAGGTACCGCATGAAATATATTTCTTCTCTCTTTTAGGTATCTAATATTAAAGAACATAATTCAAAGGAACCAGAAAGGTGAGCTACAGAAAATAAAATAGTCTCTTAATTATTGAGATTGACCCACAGATTCACTTTTGACTATTTTATTCCAATGAAAACTATCACATTTTTCTCCTCCTGGTTTTGGCCCAAAAGCTATGACAATAAATAGCTGAGTCAATACATAGAATAGTATCCTAAAATGATGATTTGAACTATTTGCCATGGATTTTTTTTCTTCTTTCTCATTAACTGGTTGGTTGCAGTTGAAAAACAATCACCTCATGCTCATTTGATTTCTGCTTTTTTCAGTTCCAATTCATTCTTTATCCTCACCTCCACACATCTTAGCTCACTGGTGATGTTCTCAGTAACTTTGAAACTCTAGTTCATCTGTCTCATCAGATCCCTCAAATCCTAGTCTCCTCACAGCCTAGGGCTAAAACTCATTCCTTCTGATACAAGGTCTTCATTCATTTAATCAAATTTGAAGGACAAATACCTGGACAAAGAGCTCCCTGATCTGACAAGGGTGAAGGGTCATTCTATACATGTGGCAGAGAGGTTTTCAGACAGTTACCACCATCATGGCCTCAATGATGAAAAGATCTCTACATTCCTTATTTATTTATTTATTTATTTATTTATTTATTTTGAGACGGAGTTTTGCTCTTGTTACCCAGGCTGGAGTGCAATGACACGATCTCGGCTCACCGCAACCTCCGCCTCCTGGGTTCAGGCAATTCTCCTGCCTCAGCCTCCTGAGTAGCTGGGATTACAGGCATGCGCCACTATGCCCAGCTAATTTTTTGTATTTTTAGTAGAGACGGGGTTTCGCCATGTTGACCAGGATGGTCTCGATCTCTTGACCTCGTGATCCACCCGCCTCGGCCTCCCAAAGTGCTGGGATTACAGGCTTGAGCCACCGCTCCCGGCCTATTTATTTATTTTGAGATGGAGTCTCATTCTGTTTCCAAGATAGGGTGCAGTGGTGTGATCTTGGCTCGCTGCAACCTCCATCTCCTGGGTTCAAATGATTCTCCTGCCTCAGCCTCAGAAGTAGCTGGGATTACAGGCATGTGCCATCATGCTCAGCTAATTTTTATAGTTTCAGTAGAGATGGGATTTCACCATGTTGGCCAAGATGGTCTCAATCTCTAGACCTCGTGATCCACTCGCCTCAGCCTCCCAAAGTGCTGGGATTACAGGCATGAGCCACCTCGTCTGGCCAGATCTCTGCATTCTTTGAGCAGTGGCATTCTGTACTCTCTTGGGCGTTCTACAGACTAAACCATCCAGCTACATCTCTGAAATAAAAGACTACCCTAATTCGATCAATTATGGTAAATGGATTCCATGGTTTCAGCAATTAAGCATTTTAACTACAAATAATAAATCCAATTGCTTATCAATCATATAAAACCTTCCATACAGAATGTTTAAAAGGATACATATTTCTGGAAAATTAGGCATGAAAATAAACCTACTTTATTGCTTAGATACAATGAAACAGAAAGAAAAGCCAAACTATGTCTTACCCTTCTAGCCCATTCACCCCCGAGGCACAGTGTTCATAATTTACAGTTAGTCTGTTCTTCTGGGCAAATCTATTGATAAGGCCTATGTAATTCCCAATGGATGATCTTTCCGAAGAATCAGTTGGTGTCAATGATAAACGACTAACTGCCTACAAAAAAAAAAAAAAAATTCTTGTTTAATATAAATGACAACAAAGATTTAACGTTCTACATTTTATTCTTCTAATAAAATTACTAAATAAGCAATTTGAAAGACAACTGTATGTTTTATATTTTCCTATTATATTACCTTGAGTAAAAGTGTGACTATCTATCTCCCTCTACTAGAAAAAAAAATCTACAAAGATACATTTTAACAATAGGAAAGAAGTCACCCATTTTTCTTTTATAGTTTCATAAGGAAAAACAAAATAGTCGATATTCTTGTTTGTTCTTGAAAAGCACTATAACACTTTCTAACTTATTATTTCCCATCTAATCTCAAAAAACAAGGCAAGAGATACTATAGTAAAGCTGTATACTGGATCACAAGTTAATGAAAAAGATGAATATAATCGTGTCATTTCTACTATTGTTATCTCTACCATTTTTTTTTCTTAGTCCAACAAAAATCTTGTCCAAAGTTTTACTTTTTGTTAAGATGGAGTTTTGCTCTTGTTGCTGGTGCAATCTTGGCTCACTGCAACCTCCGCCTCCCAGGCCAGGTTCAAGCAATTCTCCTGCCTCTGCCTCCCAAGTGGCTGGGATTACAGGCATGTCCCACCACACCCGGTTAATTTTTTTTTTTTTTTTTTTTTTTTGAGATGGAGTTTCGCTCTTGTTACCCAGGCTGAAGTGCAATGGCGCGATCTCGGCTCACCGCAACCTCCGTCTCCTGGGTTCAGGCAATTCTCCTGCCTCAGCCTCCTGAGTAGCTGGGACTACAGGCACGCGCCACCATGCCCAGCTAATTTTTTGTATTTTTAGTAGAGATGGGGTTTCACCATGTTGACCAGGATGGTCTCGAACTCCTAAGCTCAACCTATCTGCCTGCCTCAGCCTTCTAAAATGCTAGGATTATAGGCATGAGCCACCACACTCACCTGGGTTTTGCTATTTTATTAATCTTGTCACAAACTAATTTTTGGTTTTATTGATTTTCTTTCTTTTCTTTTTTTGTTTCTTTTACAGTAATTTCAACCATTGTTATTTTGTTTCTTCTGCTTTTTGGTGGTAAGACATTCTACTTTTTTTCTAACTTCTTGACTCAGTTTTCTAGCTCATTAATAATTACACTTTGTAATTTTGCTTGATTAAAAAAAAAATTGGGGGGCAGGGCATGGTTGCTCATGCCTGTCATCCCTGCAATTTGGGAGGCTGAGGCGGGTGGATCAACTGAGGTCAAAAGTTCAAGACTAGGCTGGCCAACATGATGAAACCCGTCTCTACTAAAAATACAAAAAATTATCCAGGCATGGTGGTGGGTGCCTGTAATCTCAGCTACTCAGGAGTCTGAGGCAGGAGAATCGCTTGAACCCGGGAGGCAGAGGTTGCAGTGAGTCGAGATCACACCACTGTACTCCATTCTGGGCGACAAAAGCCAAACTCTGTCTCAAAAAATAAAAATAAAAATTTGGTTAGAAGGGTGATATCTTTAAGTAAGATTTTCAAGAATCTTGAAACCTAAATTTTCCCCAAATTTTCAAAATCTGAGAATGGTCCTCTGTTGTCTAAAATGTAAATGACTTAATGTCTCATTTTATAACCATTGCTGTACTATTTCCTGGTTTATAATATTGCTGTGCACAGCATGAATCTTTAAAAATATTTACATTTTACATATTTTTCTTCTCCTTTCTAGATGCTTATAGAATTCTTTATTCATCACTGGAGCTCAGCACTTTCATAAGAATCAATGTTGGTCTGGGTGGTTCTAAATTTTCCTGTATCTATTAAGTTGTTTTAATCTGCAGTCAAGTCTTCATTTCATAAGCATTTTCTGCTGAAATCTTTTCAGGTCATTTTCTTCTGTACTATTTACTCTGTTCTCATCTTCAGGGATACCAGTCACATGTATATTGGTTCTTTATTATCTGCTCTTTGTGAACGCTTGGCTTTCTATATCCATGGGTTCCAAATCCCTGGATTCAACCAATCATGGATCAAAAATATTTGGAAAAAAAAAATGAAGGTTGCATCATACTGAATATATACAGATTTTTTTCTTGTCATTATTCCCTAAACAACACAGCATAATGACTACTTATAGCTGGGTGTGGTGGCTCACGCCTGTAATCCGAGCACTTTGGGAGGCTGAGGGGGGCCAATCACTTGAGCCTAGGAGTTCAAGACCAGCCTGGGAAACATAGTGAGACCCCAGATCTACAAAAAATACAAAAACTCCTGGGTTATAGCACATTGCATTACTCACATGTTTGTGGGGACACTGCTGTATACAAATCTACTGTGCTACAGTCTTATAAAAAAGTCTAGCACAGGGCTGGGCGCGGTGGCTCACGCCTGTAATCCCAGTGCTTTGGGAGGCTGAGATGGGTGGATCACAAGATCAGGAGTTTGAGGCCACCCTGGCCAACACAGCTGAAACCCCGTCTCTACTAAAAAGACAAAAAATTAGCAGGGTGTTGTGGCAGGTGCCTGTAATCCCAGCTACTTGAGAGGCTAAGGCAGGAGAATCACTTGAACCTGGGAGGCGGACATTGCAGTGAGCTGAGACCTCACCACTGCACTCCAGCCAGGGTAACAGAGTGACACTCCATCTCAAAAAAAAAAAAAAAAAAAAAAAATCTAGCACATACAATTACCACAGTACATAATACTGGATAATGATAAGCAACTATGTTACTGGCTTATGTATTTATACTATACTTTTTATCATTATTTTAGAATGTACTTCTACTTAAAAAAAAAAAAAAAAGTAACTGTAAAACAGCCTCGGCTGGGCGCAGTGGCTCACGACCCTAATCCCAGCACTCTGGGAGGCCGAAGCAGGCGGATCACGAGGTCAAGAGATCGAGACCATACTGGCCAACATGGTGAAAGCCCATCTCTACTAAAAATACAAAAATTAGTGGGCATGGTGGCGCACGCCTGTAGTCCCAGCTACTCAGGAGGCTGAGGCAGGAGAATTGCTTGAACCCGGGAGGCAGAGGTTTCGGTGAGCCAAAGTCATGCCACTGCATTCCAGCTTGGCGCTGCACTCCAGCCTGGCACCTGGCGACAGAGGGAGACTTTGTGTCAAAAAATAAAAATAAAAAAAATAAAACAGCCTCAGGCAGGTCCTTCAGTAGGTAATCCAAGAGAAGGTATTGTTACAATAGGAGATGACCGCTTCATGTATATTATTGCTCCTGAAGACTTTCCAGAGGGACGAAATGTGGAGGTGGAAAATGGTGGTGCTGATGATCCTGACGCTGTGCAGGCCTAGGGCTGATATGTGTGTTTCTGTTGTAATTTTTTTTCCTTTTTTTTTTTTTTTGAGACAGGGTCTTGCTGTGTTGCCCAGGCTGGAGTGCAGTCACAAGATCACAGCTCACTGCAGCCCCAGCCTCTCAGGCACATGATCCTCCTGCCTCAGCCTCCTGAGTAGCTGGGACTACAGACACATGCCACCAAGCCCGGCTAATGTTTTCTATTTTGAGTACAGACAGGGTTTCACCATGTTGCCCTTGATAACTATCTTGACCTCCCAAAGTGCAGGGATTACAGGCATGAACCACCATGTCCACGCCCAGCCTTGTGTTTTTTTTTTTTTTTGAGACAGGGTCTCGCTCTGTCACCCAGGCTGGAGTGCGGTGGCATAATCATGGCTCCTCGACATCCCAGGCATGAACTACTGTGCCCAACCATGGTCTAAATTTTTACAACAAAGTTTAAAAGTAAAGAAAAAAGTTTAAAATTTTAAAAATAGAAAAAAGCTTATAGAATAAAGAGGTAAAGAAAGAAAATATTTTTGTACAGCCAAACTATGTGTTTGTGTTTTAAGCTAAGTGTTATCAGGAAAGAGTCAAAATGTTAAAAATAAGAAGTTTATAAAGTAAAAGAGTTACAGTATGCTAAGGTTAATTTATTATTGAAGAAAAAATTGTAAATAAAATTAGTGTAGCTTATGTATACAGTGTTTACAAAGTCTACAGTTGCACACAATAATGCCCTAGGCCTTCACCTTCATTTACCACTCACTCACTGACTCACTCAGAGCAACTTCCAGTCCTGCAAGCTCCATTCATGCATGGTATGTGCCCTCTATGGGTGTACTTTTGTTTGTCTTTTTTTTTTTTTTGAGGCAGGGTCCCCAGGCTGGAGTGCAATGGTACGATCTCTGCTCACTACAACCTCCGTCTCCAGGTTCAAGCAATTCTCCTGCCTCAGCCTCACAAGTAGCTGGGATTACAGGTGCCCGCCACCACGCCCAGCTAATTTTTTGCATTTTTAGGGTTTTGCCATGTTGGCTACGCTGATCTTGAACTCCTGACCTCAAGTGATCCACCTGCCTCAGCTTCCCAAAGTTCTGGGATTACAGGCAAGAGCCACCATGCCAGGACTTTGGTTTGCCTTTTATACTGTATTTATACTGTACTTTTTCTGTGTTTAGATATGTTTAGATACATGAATACTAAACATTGTGTTATGATTGGCTATAGTATTCAGTACAGTAACATGCTGTACAGGTTTGTAGTCCAGGAGCAAGAGGCCATACTACGTAGCCTAGGTGTGTGGTGGCTATACCATCTAGGATTGTGTAAGTACCTCTGTGGTGTTTGTCCAATGAGGAAATTGCCTCAGGATGCATTTCTGACAATGTATTCTCCTTGTGAAGCAATGCATAACTGCATATTGAAAGATATGAATAGGTTATATGCAAATACTATAAGGGAATTGAGCATCAGTAGATTTTGGCATCCACAGGGAGTCCTGGTACCAATCCCCATGGACAGTGATGGATTGCTGAACATCATTTTCCCTACAATCACTTTCATCTTTTTTTTCTTTTTTCTTGTACTTCCTCAATTAGGTGGAGGGGACTCCGCCCAGAACCTGTCAGCTCATTTCCCACTGAATACTTCTTACCTTTCCATATTTGTTCAACTTTAGAGTATTTAACTGCTGCTGACATTTTAAATAACTATTATCCAGCTTTGCCCACTGTGTCCTAGGTGTGGCCCTCACTCAGGGTTTCACAGAAACGAAGATGGGCGGAATGACTGAACCAAAGTCTTGAATGTAAGGGAATGTGTGAATGGCTTTACTCTGTATGAAGGTATTTTCTCACAGAGAGAATCAGAAAAAGTATTTGCAAGTTCCCTTTTACTAGGAAAAAAAGGCAATCACTCACCTTGTTTTCCTTATTAAGTATCTCAACAGCTACTTTGGCTGCGGCATTTTTTGCTTCCTTTTTTGATCTACCTTCAGCTTCTGGAAATTCTCTCCCATCTATTATAACTTGAAATGTAAACCTGATTACAAAGAGAATATTTACAAAATATTATACAACTCATGAACTATCTAAAAACAAGTGCTCTAGCCATTACTACTTCCTACGACGACCTTTGAGGGTTTGAACCTACATTCAATATAGAATGTAAGCAGTCACCCCTAAGAGCAAAACAGCACATCTTGTTGAAGCATGGAAAGGTTTCTACCCTCTTTTCTTTCTGGAGTCATCTGTGGCTCCAAAGTAGTTACCACTTTATGCCAAGAAGATTCTCACAAAACTAAAGTGTTGACCTCAAAGTTGTGCCAGAGTTGCCATTTCCCCAGTTTGCATTTATAAGGCCATATCATTTTTTTTTTTTTTTGAGACAGAGTCTCACACTGTCTTGCACCCAGATTGTAGTGCAGTAGCTCCATCTCGGCTCACTGCAATTTCCACCTCCTGGGTTCAAGTGATTCTCCTGCCTCAGCCTCTCGAGTAGCTGGGACTACAGGCACGTGTCGCCACGCCCAGCTAATTTTTTTGTATTTTTAGTAGAGATGGGGTTTCACCATGTTGGCCCAGATAGTCTTGATCTCCTGACCTTGTGATCCATCCACGATCCTCCCAATATGCTGGGATTACAGGCGTGAACCACCGCACCCGGCAGGCCATATCATTTTTTATAGCAACTTACCTCCTATCATGTGGAGGTCCTGAATTAGGCAGTTCTTCATATGTAAGTACTACTCCCTCCTTCTGACGGTATTTATTAAGTTCCTCCATGAAGAAACCTGGTGAAAGACCACCAGCCATTTCTTCTTCTAGTATATATTCTTCTACAATAAAAGAGACATTTGAATGAGTGATGGTTACAGAACATATTTAATCTGAGTTTCCCAGTGCAGTGTAGGAGACAGTGGGGTTGGCAAGCCTCTCCTTTATAGGACTCGTCTCAATCCCACATAAATGCACAGACTTTCTTTCAAAACTGTTCTTTCTTTCTCATTGACTGCACAATCAAGTTCATTTCTCCAAAATTTTCTAATTTAAAAACTCAACTTGGCCAGGTGTGGTGGCTCACACCCGTATCCCAGCCCTTTGGGAGGCTGAGGCAGGCGGATCACCTGAGCTCAGGAGTATGAGACCAGCCTGGGCAACAGGGCAAAACCCCGTCTCAATTTCAAAATTATTTCAAAAAATAAAGGAGGGTCGGGTGCGGTGGCTCACGCCTATAATCCCAGCACTTTGGGAGGCCGAGGCGGGTGGATCACAAGGTCAAGAGATCAAGACCATCCTGGTCAACATGGTGAAACCCCGTCTCTACTAAAAATACAAAACATTAGCTGGGCATGGTGGCGCATGCCTGTAATCCCAGCTACTCAGGAGGCTGAGGCAGGAGAATTGCCTGAACCCAGGAGGCGGAGGCTGCGGTAAGCCGAGATCGCGCCATTGCACTCCAGCCTGGGTAACGAGAGTGAAACTCCGTCTCAAAAAACAAAACAAAACAAAACAAAATAAATAAATAAATAAAGGAAAGAAAAAAATTCAACTGGTCAGTGAAAGAAGGGGGCCCTTCTCTTTAACTCCGCTCTATGCTTCCACTGAGTATCAACTACATGTTTGTCTACCTGCTTAAGAAAGTAAAAAGGCTGCAGGAGTGTAGAATGTTTTATGTTGGGAAGAAAAAGGTTTAGAGTATACATAATAAGTGAAGTGGAGTGGCAGCGCGGGGACAGGCTGGGAAGCGGGCAGGCGAGTGTGGCCTGTGTGGATGCCAATCCTGCCCAAAGCCAGGTGGAGAAGAGCCCAAGCTAAAAGTGATCAGCCCATGACCTAGACCTGTAGATAAAATAAAACAGGGAAAATTTGCTAGAATTAAGAAAGATGAATCCATGTTCAGTTGGAGTCCAACTTTGTACTACAAATGAGTCCCATAAGACCTACTAATACTTGTCACACAGGTTTTAAGACTTTGCAAGAATTGTTATCAAATGATATGCTTTTACTTCAACTTCGAACTGAAATACTCTTTCTGGGAACAATACAATTTGCTTTCATCACGTAAAAATTTAAGAATAAATAAGATACACACAAAAAAAAGAAAAAAATTTACATTGACAGATTAGAGGATTTACAGAAGTTGTGTTGTGACCCATTTAACATACACAAAAAACTAGCCAAAAAAATTTTTTTTACATGTAATTGACTTAGTGTAAAATTTGGAAGGCAGCTTGTACCTGGTTGGAAGATTTGTCCAAAATGCACGCAGATAATCAACAGAAGTGTGGATATTGATTCTGAAGACTGCCGGAGAAGGAAACCTGAATCAGATGGAAGAACTGCTAAAGCTTTGAGGTCATTACAACTTACAAATCCAGGAAGGCAAACTGAATTTGCTCCAGAAACTGGTAAAAGAGAAAAAAGAAGGCTTACAAAAAATGCAAACACTAGTTCAGACAGACAAGTGATACCGGTAAAGAGTAAGGTCTATGAGAGCCAGGGTCTCCTGACTTTGAGTGGGATGGACTTCTATGACTGCCTCGATGAAGATTGCTTAGGATGTTTCTATGCTTGTCCTGCCTGTGGTTCTACCAAGTGTGGAGCTGAATGCCACTGTGACCGCAAGTGGCTATATGAGCAAATTGAAATTGAAGGAGGAGAAATAATTCATAATAAACATGCTGTATAATCTGTGGCATCAAACTATGAGGCCTTTAAAGGTCTTTATTTCCAAAATTCTGTTGCTCTAAGATACATTTTAAGCTTGATTGTCAGATGACAAAGATTTTAAAACCATCTCAGTGTGCACTAATTTTTCACGATAATTCTGTTTAACTTTGTGAGGAACCACTGAGTTGTTTTCCACAGTAGCTATACCCATGCTACATTTCCACCAGCAATGCACAAGGGTTCTAATTTCTCCACATCCTCACCATCACTTGTTATTATCTGTTTTCTTTTTTAATATAGCCACATCATGGTCTTTTTAAAACATCAATTCAATCATCCCCAAGCCACTGAAATTGTTTCTGTCGAGATTACCAATGGCTTCCCCATCACTAAATCCAGTAGTGAGTTCTCAGTCCTTCTTTACTTCACCTACAATGGGCATTTGATTTGGTTGCTCATCCTTTTCTCCCACCTCTCCTTTCTTAGCTTGGACTTTTAAGATACCCATTCTCCTTGTTTTTTTTTGAGACAGAGTTTCACTCTTGTTACCCAGGCTGGAGTGCAATGGTGCCATCTCAGCTCACTGCAACCTCCACCTCCTGGGTTCAAGCAATTCTTCTGGCTCAGCATTTCGAGTAGCTGGGGTTATAGGCACCTGCCACCACACCTGGCTAATTTTTTATATTTTTAGTAGAGATGGGGTTTCTTCATGTTAGCCAGGCTGGTCTCGAACTCCTGACCTCAGGTGATCCATCTGCCTTGGCCTCCCAAAGTGCTGGAATTACAACCATGAGCCACCACACCCAGCCCTGGTTTTCTTCTGTTCTTACAAGCTACTCCTTTTCTGTCTCCTCTCCTGGTTCTTCTTCATCATCCTTTCTTCTATTTTTTTTAACCTTTCCTATGGTGCTAACTTCCTCTTTTCTAGATATTGTAGCATCACTGGGCCCAGGCCTTAGACTTGTTCTTTTCTACTTAGACTCACTCCCCTGGTGATCATCTCCAGGTTTGTGGCTTCAAATTCCACTGACACAATGATGGTTCCCAAAAGTATGCTTCCACCATGGACTCTCTTCTGAACTCCCAGCTGCCTCTGTCCCGCCTGTTCCCTCCTAAAATGCTCTTGACTCTACTCCTTCTGCTGTCTTGGCCCAGTCAACTTCTACTTCCCAAAGATTTCAGCTCAAAATCCCAGACACTCCTTCACAGGCTCTTTCATAATGCTCATCCTCTTTATTAAAATTGCTTATTTAACTATTTTCCAAAATAGAGCATGAATTACTAGAAGTAAAGGACCAGGCTCCGCAATGAAAGAATGAGTACCAAAATCTCTCCAGATATCCTCTCCAGAACATGTCACCTGTTTTTCTCTACATTTATACTGTAATATCTGCATTCTCTCTGGACCCAGCAATCTCCACTCATCTATCAGGATCAACACATCCTCCTTTGATGCTGGAGGCTCAGCTAGTGGCCCTCCATGGGCCTGCCATTCCACCTTGCCCAACCCTAATCACAGCCCTGACTGCTTTTTAAAGTAATTAGTGAGCTCTTTTGGGAGCAGATTCTACATCTTATTCACTCATCTGGAAGAAATCTCTATCATAATCACTAAAAAATATTTGTCCATCTTACTAATGCCGAGAAATTACTTCGGCTATGCCTTCACTCCCTTCTAGCAGACTACAGTCTCCATCTAGGGCCAGCACATTGCTTCACATAGATCATGCTTTCAACTAGTATCTGAATAATAAATGACTAAACGGCTGAGCATGGTGGCTCATGCCTGTAATCCCAGCACTTTGGGAGGCCAAGGCAGGCAGATCACCAGAGATCCGGAGTTTGAGACCAGCCTGGCCAACACGGTGAAACCCCATCTTTACTAAAAATACAAAAATTAGCCAGGCATGGTAGTGCATGCCTGTAATTCCAGCTACTTGGGTGGCTGAAGCAGGAGAATCACTTGAACCTGGGTGATGGGGGTTGCAGTGAGCTGAGATCACACCACTGCACTCCAGCCTAGGTAACAGAGCGAGACTCTGTCTTAAATAAATAAATAAATAGTCAGTCAAGTATTTGGGATCTCCAGGTTCAAATAAGCAAACTGAAAAACAACAGCATAATCTACCCAACATTCTAAATTCCTAAGTGACAGCAGAGATACTGTCTTTTAGCTTCCATCTGGCAAAGCATTTTTAGTACTAAGGAAAACATGGGGCCAGGGGCAGTGGCTCATGTCTGTAATCCCAGCACTTTGGGAGGCTGAGGCAGGGAGATCACCTGATGTCAGGAGTTTGAGACCAGCCTAGTCCATGTGGTGAAACCCTGTTCTCTACTAAAAATATAAAAATTAGCTTGGCATGGTAGTGTGTGCCTGTAATCCCAGCTACTCAGGAGGCTGAGGCAGGAGAATTTCTTGAACCCAGGAGGCAGAAGTTGCAGTAAGCCAAGATCACGCTATTGTACTCGAGCCTGGGTGACAGAGTGCGACTCCATCTTGAAAAGAAAGGAGAGAGGAGGGAAGGGGAGAGGATGGGAGACCAGGGAAGGGAAGGGAAGGAAAGGCCAGGGAAGGGAAGGGAAAATGAGGGGAGGGGAGGAGAGGAGGGGGGGAGGGGGAGGGGGGGAGGAGCAGGAGAGGAGGGAAGGAGGAGGAGGGGAGGGTCAAAGGAAAGAAAGGGAAGGAAGGGAAGGGAAGGGGAAATGGAGAAAGAGAGAGAGGAAGAGAGAGGGAAGGAGGAAAGAAAGAAAATAAAGAAGAGAAAGAGAAAAGAAAGAAAAGAGGAAGGGCCGGTCCTGGTGGCTCACGCCTGTAATCCCAGCACTTTGGGAGGCCCAGGCGGCTGGATTACGAGGTCAAGAGATCGAGACCATCCTGGTCAACATGGCGAAACCCCGTCTCTATTAAAATAAAAAAATTAGCTGGGCATGGTGGCGCGTGCCTGTAATCCCAGCTACTCGGGAAGCTGAGGCAGGAGAATTGCCTGAACCCAGGAGGCGGAGGTTGCGGTCAGCCGAGATCGCGCCATTGCACTCCAGCCTGGGTAACAAGACCGAAACTTCGTCTCAAAAAAAAAAAAAAAAAGAAGAAGAAAAGAAAAGAAAAGAGGAAGGGAGGGAAGGTAGGAAAGAATGAAACATGGGCAATAGGAAGCCTCATTATTTTGGAATTCAAAAGGGAGTTTATGAATTACCATTCATTTAACAAATATTTAATGAGCACCTATTATATACTAGCTGGGCTATACCAGTGAACCCTGCTATAGGTAACTGTGAAATTACCAGTGGAGGAACAACCCATAAGAAAATGTCAGTGGGTGATCAGTGCTATGCTGAAAACCGAAGTAGTGGAAGGGGGAGCAGTGAGGGCAGAGTGGGGTTTCTTGTATATGCCGGTTGTTTGGGGAAGGCTGCTCTGATAAGCTGGCATGGGAAACAGTCCAGGATAAGGGAGGGGTTTCCCCATGCAGCTATCTGGGGGAAAAGCTTCCCAGGAAGAAGAAACAGGCAGTGCAAAGGCCTAGAGGCGGGGGGATGCTTGGCTTTGCACCAGGAGCAGCAAGGAAGCCAGCGTGGCCGGAGTAGGGGTGCAAGAGGCCTTGCCTGTGAGTCTTAATAAACATTTATAGGATTCTGATGAGACAGGAAAGCTATGGGGAAGGTCTGAGCAGGGGAGCATCTGGTTCTTACTTAAAGGAACACTCCGGTTGCTGAGGTGTGGGAGAAGAGGTAGTGGGTGGAGGCTGGGGATGGGGACACGAGTGGGAACAGGAACTGAGGCCAGGCAGTTGGGAAACTACTGCAACTGCCCATGCAAGAGATTTTTAGCCGGAGATTGTTTAGCCAGTCTATGAGTATTTCGGGCCTCCGTAATTTCCCTGTGTCAAGCCACTAGGCCTATGGGTCTTCCACTAGACCCCGGCCCCCAACTGCTGCCTGAGAAATGTATGTTACTTGCACTGATAAAAAATTTTTGCGGGACGGAAATGGCTTTGAGTCCCCACCCAGCTCTACGATCCTTTTCCTGGATTCGGGGAGGGCCTGCACCCGGGCTGCGGGCCTGCGACTGCGCTCCCACTGCTGACACAGCCCGGGCCAGGGGCTGCGGATCCGCGCCGGCGTCCGGACGCGGGATCGGCGGGTCCCGCCCCGGCTGGGCCCGCAGCCCCTAGCCCGCCCTGCCCCCATCCCCATCCCCCGAGCCTGGTCCCCCGCGTTCCCTCGGCTGCCCACGGCCCCGCTCACCTGCGCCGCTGCCACCGCCGCTGCTGCCGGCCGGACACCAGCGGCTTCTGGAGAGCTAGCTCTCGGTTTCGTTTTCCCCTCGGACTCCGCCTTCCCTGAAGCCGTCCTCTGCTCGGGGATTGGGGTAAATTGGCGCTGGATCCCGAGTGCGCGCAGGAGGCACCGGCTGGCGGGCTTGGTGCCCACGTGCAGCCTCTGCGCTGCCAGAACCCGGCATACCCAACCCCAACCCCCGCGGCTCCTGGGGCAAGTGGCGCTAGCTGCTCTAGGTTCTGGAATCAAGGGTTCCACTTACTCTTCGGTACAAACATCTAGAGTAGGGTTGGGAAGATGGGTATTACCAGCTCCGTTTTACAATAGAGGAAACTGAGTAAATGAACTCGCCCAGGGTCCTGCCGCTCGTAAGTGGCAAAGCCTGTAAACAAAGTTACAGGCCCAAGTTTGGGCCTGTAAAC